GTCAGTACTACAAGTCCTTATCATTCACAGCCTCAATGTCAGTACTACAAGTCCTTATGATTCACAGCCTCAATGTTTTAACTACAAGTCCTTATCATTCACAGCCTTAATGTCAGTACCACAAGTCCTTATCATTGACAGTCTTAATGTCAGTACTACAAGTCCTTATCATTAACAGCCTCAATGTTTGAACTACAAGTCCTTATCTTTCACAGCCTTAATGTCACTTCTACAAGTCCTTTTCATTGACAGCCGCAATTTCAGTATTACAAGTCCTTATGATTCACAACGGCAATGTCAGTACTGCAAATCCCTATCATTGACAGCCGCAATGTCAGTACTACAAGTCCTAATCATTGTTAGCCGCAATGTCAGTACCACAAGTCCTTATGATTCACAGCCTCATTGTCAGTACTATAAGTCCTTATCATCGACAGCCTCTATGTCAATACAAGTCCTTATCATTCACAGCCTCAGTGTCAGTACTACAAGTCCTTATCATTGACAGCCTCAGTGTCAGGACGACAAGTCCTTATCATTGACAGCCGCAATGTCAGTACGACAAGTCCTTATCATTGACAGCCGCAATGTCAGTACTACAAGTCCTTATCATTCACAGCCTTAATGTCAGTACCACAAGTCCTTATCATTCACAGCCTTAATGTCAGTACCACAAGTCCTTATCATTCACAGCCTTAATGTCAGTACCACAAGTCCTTATCATTAACAGCCTCAATGTTTGAACTACAAGTCCTTATCTTTCACAGCCTTAATGTCAGTACTACAAGTCCTTATCATTCACAGCCTCAATGTCAGTACTACAAGTCCTTATCATTGACAGCCTTAATATCAGTACAAGTCCTTATGATTCACAGCCTCAATGTTTGAACTACAAGTCCTTATCTTTCACAGCCTTAATGTCAGTACTACAAGTCCTTATCATTGACAGCCGCAATATCAGTATTACAAGTCCTTATCATTCACAACCGCAATGTCAGTACTGCAAATCCTTATCCTTGACAGCCTTAATGTCAGTACTACAAGTCCTTATCATTGACAGCCTCAGTGTCAGTACGACAAGTCCTTATCTTTGACAGCCTTAATGTCAGTACTGGCAAGACCTTATCATTGACAGCCTCAGTGTCAGTTCGACAAGTCCTTATCATTGACAGACGCAATGTCAGTACTACAAGTCCTTATCATTGACAGACGCAATGTCAGTACTACAAGTCCTTATCATTGACAGCCGCAATGTCAGTACTGGTAAGTCCTTATGATTCACAGCCTCAGTGTCAGTACTACAAGTCCTTATCATTCACAGCCTCAGTGTCAGTACTACAAGTCCTTATCATTCACAGGCTCAGTGTCAGTACTACAAGTCCTTATCATTGACAGCCGCAATGTCAGTACTGGTAAGTCCTTATCATTCACAGCCTCAGTGTCAGTACTACAAGTCCTTATCATTCACAGCCTCAGTGTCAGTACTACAAGTCCTTATCATTGACAGCCTCAGTGTCAGTACTACAAGTCCTTATCATTGACAGCCTTAATATCAGTACAACAAGTCCTTATGATTCACAGCCTCAATGTTTGAACTACAAGTCCTTATCTTTCACAGCCTTAATGTCAGTACTACAAGTCCTTATCATTGACAGCCGCAATATCAGTATTACAAGTCCTTATCATTCACAACCGCAATGTCAGTACTGCAAATCCTTATCCTTGACAGCCTTAATGTCAGTACTACAAGTCCTTATCTTTGACAGCCTCAGTGTCAGTACGACAAGTCCTTATCTTTGACAGCCTTAATGTCAGTACTGGCAAGACCTTATCATTGACAGCCTCAGTGTCAGTACGACAAGTCCTTATCACTGACAGACGCAATGTCAGTACTACAAGTCCTTATCATTGACAGACGCAATGTCAGTACTACAAGTCCTTATCATTGACAGCCGCAATGTCAGTACTGGTAAGTCCTTATCATTCACAGCCTCAGTGTCAGTACTACAAGTCCTTATCATTCACAGCCTCAGTGTCAGTACTACAAGTCCTTATCATTGACAGCCTCAGTGTCAGTACTACAAGTCCTTATCATTCACAGCCTCAGTGTCAGTACTACAAGTCCTGATAATTGACAGCCTCAATGTCAGTACTTCAAGTCCTTATCATTGACAGCCTCAATGAGTTGACAGCTTCAATGTTAGTACTACAAATTCTTATCATCGACAGCCTCAGTACTGCAAATCCTTATCATTCACAGCCTCAATGTCAGTACTACAAGTCCTTATCATTCACAGCCTCAGTGTCAGTACTACAAGTCCTTATCATTCACAGCCTCATTGTCAGTACTACAAGTCCTGATAATTGACAGCCTCAATGTCAGTACTACAAGTCCTTATCATTGACAGCCTCAATGAGTTGACAGCTTCAATGTTAGTACTACAAATTCTTATCATCGACAGCCTCAGTACTGCAAATCCTTATCATTTACAGCCTTAATGTCAGTACTACAAGTCCTTATCATTCACAGCCTCAGTGTCAGTACTACAAGTCCTTATCATTCACAGCCTCAGTGTCAGTACTACAAGTCCTGATAATTGACAGCCTCAATGTCAGTACTACAAGTCCTTATCATTGACAGCCTCAATGAGTTGACAGCTTCAATGTTAGTACTACAAATTCTTATCATCGACAGCCTCAGTACTGCAAATCCTTATCATTTACAGCCTTAATGTCAGTACTACAAGTCCTTATGATTCACAGCCTCAATGTCAGTACTACAAGTCCTCATCATTGACAGCCTCAAAGTAAGTACAAGAAATCCTTATTATTGACAGCCTCAATGTCATTACTACAAATCCTTATCATTGACAGACCGGTATATTAAATCACCTGTCCGTTTCCCAATTTCCACCCATTTCATCGTATTACCTGTCTGGGAACTACCAGCATGGGCAAGACATGTGACAGAGGGCCCTCACATTACACAACATTATGTAAAACCCTGTTGACACAAGGATAGAGATAAGCTATCACTCAGGTCATACCTACACCAGTCCGTTTGACTCAAAATGAGAACGATGAATTGCAAAATAACTCGAAATCCAGAAAAGTGTATGAAACATCAATACGGTACTTGACCATGAATACCCTGTACCCGACCATGAATACCCTGTACCCAACAAAATCTGAATTTTGTTTATTTTAAGACCAATGACGGATGAAGTTCTTCAAGAAACTATCATGTAATTTTGTATAGAAATGTGTACATGACACGTAGGGGGGACAAACCGTGGAAGGCACAGCGCAAGCACGCATGCACTGCACGTTCTGTGGTAGGGGAAATGACAGAGCGTTAGAGGGGCCGTCTCATGATAATTTCAGTCGCAATCTGACTCGCTCATGCCATAGATCTCGTCGTCGGAACTTCTGGTGCCTGAACCGACTGCCACTATTATAGGTTGGACTGTTGCTGGCCGTAGTCCATCTCGTGACCAATAACGTGGCTCTATCTCGTCAACGACTGTGGCCACACAACGCCTCCATGTTTCTACTGTTACCCGACCAAGGGATTCCTTTACGAGTTGTTCAACGTCTCGTAATTTGAACGTTGTGTTCGATCGTCCAACGTCACCCTTGACGGTGCCCCATACCAACTCGATTGGATTCAGGTCGCAGTGATAAGGTGGCAGTCGTAAGACAGCGTGACCCTGACCCTTGATGTAACTGTCAACTTTATACACGGGGTCAGGTTTCATAGTTTTGATGATTTCATAGAGCTGTGGTTTCGTCGCTCGAGAAGGAAAGGTAATGTTCCTCCGTTGCAGCCAAGTAACCATGTCTCCTTTACGGTTATTAGAGGTTGGAGTCTTGCTTTCTGGATCCTGCACACTATGATACGGTGCATTGTCCATGACAATGAGAGACTTGGTAGGCAAAGCAGGGACTAATTTATCTTTCACCCACTCCAGAAATACATTGCCGTTCATTTCTGTGTGGCAGTCCCTGTTGTCTTTGGCCTTGGCTCTAAAGACGAGGTCACAGTCTGGGAGAAAACCCTGACTAGCAGAACCAGCATGGAGAACTATGAGTCTTTCACCCTTTCCCATTGGTAACTTTCTACCAGACTCCTTACAGTCACCACTGGGTACCCACTGACTGCTGGCTGTGTGTGACGCATTTACCCATGTCTCATATAAGAAGACGGGCTCATATCCTTCTTCACGTTTCTGCTTGATGGTACGAAGGTAATGATTTCGGAGACGAACAATGTCAGACCGTTCACACAACACAGCCCTATTTTCTCCAGTTATCTTTTTGTATTTGTAACCAAATGTATGCAACAGCTGCCATAGTTTGTACTTTGTAACACGTAAATCATGGTCAGTTTCAAGGTGTTTCTTCAAAATTCTTAGGGACAGGTACTTTTAACAATTGCACGTCTGACTTTATCCCTCTGAAAACTGTCTAATTTATCAACCTTGCGTGGTTTTGACATGTTCCCTACCTCCTTGGCCTGACTATTTGTATCTCGTCGACTAACAACATTTTTCAGTTTCTGAGGGGACATACCAAGAGCTTTTGAAGCTCGTTTCAAGAATTTATTAATTTCATAAAAAGGCTTTGCTCTTTCTGCTTCACTTCTAAAGAAATCATACACATTCAACATCAACTGTTTAACATCTGCTGAGTAGCACGTGCAGACCGTGCTTGCGCTGTTCCTTCCACGGTTTGTCCCCCTACGTGTCATGTATACATTTCTATACAAAATTACATGATAGTTTCTTAAAGAACTTCATCCGTCATGGGTCTTAAAATAAACAAAATTCAGATTTTGTTGGGTACAGGGTATTCATGGTCAAGTACCGTATTGTTGTTTCATACACTTTTCTGGATTTCGAGTTATTTTGCAATTCATCGTTCTCATTTGGAGTCAAACGGACTGACAGAACATAATCTGCACCGTATTTTTATTATCCTGCCTTCTGCAGTTGCCTCCCCTTCATTGGCCAATGTGAATGTCCATGTGTGCTGTGTTGTACAGACCTGGTAGAGAGTTTGCCAGTCCGTGGGGATCACGTACAAGGATGGAAGGATTCTGTCATGGACAGCCTTTGTGGGTAGGTTCAGCTTTCTTCATTGAATTATGTGCGCCATATTGATAAATGCCATGGCTGTTATGGTGATGTCAAAATTAAAGTTTAAATGTCATTTAAGGATTACTACATGCCCATCACCACCAAATGTTCCACAATTTGTTTGCAACTTCATATTGAGAGAACTATATGTAACAGGCTGATATAGAATTGTGTCTTGCAACGTCATTTTTATGTCAAACAATGTCATTTTACAATAACAGTCTGAAGCATAATTATGTTTGAAATATTTTTGAGGACAATTGATTTTTTTAGACAAAATCCCAGATCCCCCTCATATTAATATCTTATTCCTGAACAACTTGATTTAGTCACGATATGGCTGAAATACTGCCGATGTGACTATAAATCTTACCTCACTCACTCATTGATATAAAAAAACACTTGGGTGAGATTTTCTATGTATTTCACCAGACAACCCATGCTGATAACACTTGGCAGATGACTTGTACAAGGAAATGAGTGTGACGATAGGCATGGTTTAAATGTATTGCAGATCACACGGAGGTGTATGGTGCTGAATAAATAGTCACTGTGGAAATTACTATGTAGAGTCACCTTCAGTTCACACTCATGGTGTGAACTAGTGTGTACATATATATGTCTGTATTCTTGTCTAGAGTAAACTTGGATTCCAAACTCGGCACTCCTGTCAGGCACATTTGGACAAAAGCATAATGTTTGATAATTTGAATTTATTAAATTTAGAGGTATTATAATAATGAATTCATTCCAATAATGTAAAACTACCAGTATTTAGTATAATAGTTTCATCATCCTTGTGTTGGTCTTGTTGTCCACAAAGAACCATTGAAGATATGAAATTTTAACTGATATTTCCCATCACATTTGATCATATTTTGATCATATTGTCAACCTCTGTGAGTACATAGATAAATTCCTCTCTATTTAAGAATTCCTGGATGGGGTAAATTGATAGTTGCAGTGTCTCCTGATCATATAGATGTCAGAGTGACAGACCAAGATCACTATTAGGGAACATCTGAGATTCAGACCCATTGCCCCCCAAACAAATTAAAATGGGTGACAGAAAAATCAGAGCATACCTTGAGCATGAGTTGGGTAGAGTCAATATATGAGTAATAACTCACAGCTCAGGTATGCAACTTAATGTTTCTGTTATGAAACGTGACAACAATGGAAATAAGTATTTAGGTGTTACTTTGGGAATTAGGGTCTTTATTTACAGTTATATCTGGGGCACAAAATGAACTTTGAGAGGTTTTTTTATGAATTATCATGGCTCAACTATAAATTGTGAAAAACCTTAATAATGGTTTTTTTTAATAAAGTATTCATATTCATACTGTCAAATCATTATGTAGAGAAAATATTATTGCATTGTTTACCTGAGTGTGAAATCATATTCAGTAAAATTTTGCTCCATGTACTAAACCATCTCAATCAATCTATCTGTTGAAATAGTACTTAATCTTATACAAATCATAAATACATGTACTTGACATAGCACTCTGACTAACTAGACCAATCTGTAAGTAATATGAATAAGTGCTCCCTAGTACATTTATCAGGGGCACGGGTGGCCCAGTCATCCAAGGCGCCGCGATTCGCTGTGCAGAGTTGCGTCCCTTGGGCATGCCAGAAACCTATGATTGTGGGTTCGCATCCCGGTTCGCCCCGATTATGTTTCTAGGTTTGTCAGCACCATACCCATGCTCGTGGGTTTCACCGAAGTGGTAAAGGTCTGAGACCTGCATCACTTCAGCTTTCCTCCCACATTAAGCTGACACGCCGTGATATAACTGGAATACTGTTAAAAGCAGCCTTAACCCCAACTCACTCACTCACTAGTACATTTATCAAGCAAGAAGTTGAAATCTGCAAGTCAACACCTTCCTTCATTGATACCTAAGTTTCAAAAATGCCACTTAAAACTTTGGTCAACCAAGTGAAAGTCGTTAGCCACGACTTACAAAATGATCGTCCAGACTTTGAGGGTTTGGCAGATCCGCCCGACTGATCTGCATCGGTCAACTGGCTGTCGTCACGCTTTCGCTTCTTGTCTGAGGTTACGTATCGTAGCATTGTGAGGATAATGAGGTACATCGATGATGCAAGGTATTAATGTACAGTTGTAAACACCTTTCACTCAAATTAACAAGATGTTCTCAGTAATTAATCCTCGATTAATCAGTGTCAACTCAGTTTATTGCCTATTACAGTGATTGACAGATTGGACTATCATGTAGGTACGATGTATTTACAGCAATCAAAACAAACAAAGCTTGTCAGTGTAGTTAATCTTCATTGTGTTGCAACTGCAGACAGAAACTGCTCAGTCCTAACTGTTGATCATGTCCGGTCAAAATTTAAGAATGTCCGGACAATACTTTTTAAAATGTCCGGTAAGCAATATTTTAAAACGGACATTTGAGATTCCCAATCGGACATGTCCGGCGCATATGACGGTTTCCGGACCCCTGCTTAAAAGTATTATATTAAAAATATGTCTGCTAGATTGACTAGTGTTGTAATGGGAAATGCTAGTTAGTTGTTAGATTTAGGTCTCCAAGTATATATAAACCTTGTAATAACATATTTATTTGAATGCTTATCCCTAATATGGCCACCACCTGAAATACCAAGGGATGTAATGCTTTGCTAGAATTGGATTTCTGTCTAATCCAGACTACTGTTTAATCCAGATCCCACAAAAGTCTGATATAGACAGACCCACTCTAGGCCGAAGTAACCAAAGGGAGTGAGTGAATGTTGTTTTATGCTACAATCTATCATGTTCCGACCACCTCCGTGGTCTAGTGGTAGAGCGTCCGCCCGGAGAGCGGAAGGTCCGGGGTTCGATCCCCGGCCGCGTCATACCAAAAGACGTTAAAAGATGGTACTTGTTGTTACCCTGTCTGGCGCTCGGCATTAAGGGGCTAAAACAAGGACTGGTCGGCTCGGAGTCAGTATCCATGTTAAACTGCGGCATGGTATCTCAGTGAGCTAGCACTATAAATCGGCATCAGTCCAGCCTGCCTAGTACAAAGCAGCAGCAACACACACACGTGCATGCACGTCGCTATATAAGTACAATAATCTTGGACGCGACGTTAAACCCCATTTCACCTCACCTCACCTATCATGTTCCAGCTCTATCCTGGCAACATATTTATCTGGACCAAGCAAACATGTGGCTGACCTCATGACAATCTACCTCGCCTAGTATCAGCCCAGTCTTATGACAGGTCACGATCCAGGTCACCTATCCTCAAAATAAATAGTTGCTCTTGTCACAATGATGGTTGGGTTACTAACTGGGGAGCAGCATTAGAAATTGGCACTACTCCTATCGTCCTTGCCTGAATAGTTAAGGTATCATAACGACTAGTAGAAATTTTCCCTTTTTAAGGGTTTTGCTGTATGTTATCATTATAAGGACTAGTGGACTAAACTAGGGAGTGATTCTGCCCTCAAATGCCAAGGAATATACACAGTACAACTAACAGTAGTTGTTGAGAAATCATTAATCAGTAATTGAGAAATCATGAGAATCTGTTGATTCTACTCCCAGATTCAAGTGATTTTTAAACCTTGTTGTACTGGATATTATGGAAGCCTTTTAGGGCGATTTTTTTTTTTCATTATTTTTTTTAAATGATTATCTTGAAATTTCAACTTAGTATGTATCTTGAAATTTCAACTTAGTATCTTGAAATTTCAAGAAAAAAAGAAAGAAAAATGGCCCTTAAAGGCTTCTGTAGGATATATAACTTCTCAATAAATTTGCAAAATGACCCATAGTTTAATCAGTTTTACTTGTTTATAATGTTCATTCAGAATGGCTCAGAACCATCTGCAACAATGGAAGTGTTGTTATGTGTCACAGACACTTGAACCTGGACCCAGAAGGGTGAAAACAATTATTGTTGCATGCTTAAACTTCTTTTAAAAATTTCATTAGACATCATACAGTAATGGGTAGCTAAGAAGCACATGGCAAAGGGAGATAATTACAATGCTGGTACTAACAATATACCGCTAATGAAGGATCAAGATTATGGTTTTATGTCAGATAAACCACAGGTGCATTCATCATGGTAGTAGTGTTTCAGTAAGGTGTGCAACCACATTAGAGCAAGGCAAACCGTTCTCTCTCATTCAGGTTAACAGTGAGTGAGTGAGTTTGGTTTAACACCGCTTTTAACAGTATTCCAGTTATATCACGGCGTGTCAGCTTAATTAGGGAGGAAAGCCCGAAGTGATGCAGGTCTCAAACTTTACCACTTCGGTGAAACCCATGAGCACGGGTATGGTGCTGACAAACCTAGAAACATAATCGGGGCGAACCTGGATTCGAACCCACAATCATAGGTTTCTGGCATGCCCAAGGGACGCAACTCTGCACAGCGAATCATGGCGCCTTAGATGACTGGGACACCTGTGCCCCCTCAGTTTCACAATATGTGTCACAATATGCACATGAACCCGAGTCTGTGTACTCTCACACAACTGCTGATTCCTGCATTTATATTAATAACAAAATAAAGAATAACTGGGAAACGCGTGGTGCTTAATGCGTGAGTGTGGAATTCATAGATGTGCAAGGAACCAGTTCAAAAGCTTGATGTCAGATTAGGAATTTAATCTTTAAAGTTTTGACGAATACCAAAAACAACCAATGCTTAATTGTGAAATTGTTGAATTTCCGAGTTTCATGGCGTCTTTTGTCATGCATTCTTGTTGTGTTTTGCCCTGCTTTTTCAGAATGATTATCAACTGAAGTTTATTTACTTGTTGAAAATCATTTGTATAGTTTTCAGAGATCAAATCTGCCAATCGATACTATGCACTGCACATCGATACTATGCACTGCACTAGATGAAATTACCACTATTGTAGGTGATGATAAAACCCTGCCTTGTGGAGAGACAGGTTGTATTTACTGAGTATTGACTCCTAACAACATATGAATGAAAATGAATCTGTTTAGTTTAGTTACTATATAAAGTATTGAGAAATCAGGTAAGTTGATTTGTCGGATGGCAAACTCTCAGGGCCATCATCCCCCTGAACCCTAAACTACAGGAAATAAGATTTTATCCAACATCGAACTTATGAGCTGGTCCTAAGGAAAATGTGTGGAAATGATGTATTACACACCAGTACATACATGTAGTGTGCTTAGAGACATGCATATGGATTTCAAGGCCCTTCATGTGTACAAGTCAGTGTAAATGAACGGACATAATGTGCGATCACGCTCTGCCTTAGCCTTTGACCTGCATCATCTGGAAACACTGTTTGGTCGTTGAGACTCTCACATACGCTAATGTCCATGCAACTACATCAAGCCTGGCAAATCAAAGCATGGTTGGCAAACATGAACAAGATACTAAATACAGACTCTAACAGATGTTGCATAAAGTTATGATGTAATATACTTTCACACTTACCATGTGATTAGAAAGACAGGTATTTAGCAAATTTGAACAATAGTTTACAAGGGTCTCTGGAAGGTGTAAGGGGTCTGTCATCTTGAGATATCAAGAGCTTGTCACCCCAACTACATAAGTACCCCCTACTGCACAGCAACTCGAAAGTCTCTAACACTCAGTAGTTTCTGTTGATATTTGCAAAGACGTTTCATTTTCGTGAATTTGTTTCAATGTCAAATCAATTCAATGTGCCAATGTTTCTGTGAAATAATAATTCTAGATTAAATTTGTTAATTGCAGTTGTATGTAATGAACGTCCATTTAGAAGGTTAATTGTACCTTAAAATTTCCTAATTGCAATTTGAAGGAATGTCGATTAAAAAGGTTAATCCTACATTTCCAAGTAATTGTTGGGTCACATTATGATGATTGTCAGGTCTATAACTATCAATTTATCTCAACAGGAATAATCTGGAACTGAAAGTTAAATGTCAAATTTGTGGATGTACAAGCGAATGAGTGAGTGATTGAATGCCTTGGGTTGTTGTAGATGTGTACAACTGCCAAAGCCGTCAGTGATGTCGATATCTGCAACAAAATGAACATTTACTGGTACTTTTCCATTTGATTTGAACCAAAAGGGGAAAGTGGAATTCATTCAGAAAATGTTCATAATTTATATTAGACAATAATCAGAGTGAGCAGGGTGTATTTTCACCGCCTTCAGCAACATTCCAGCAATATTGCGGCAGGGGATGCCAGAAATGGGCATCACACATTGTACTCATGTGAGGAATCACACATTGTACTCATGTGAGGAATCCAACCCGGGCCTTCAGGCTGACCAGCAAAGGCCCTAGCAATAATCAGAGGTACCTGTCTTAACTCCCTTACATTGTCAATTTGTTTTGTGTTTTTTAATATTGGCTAGCATACGGTACACCCACTGGTAACCAAAGTGATGGCATAAATCCTGCTGGGGAGTCATGCAGGAAGCATAGGTACTGTAAGTCCCCATGATCTCCAGTAAGGTCGTCTAACTTTGGTTATTGGTGGTCTATAGCCTTGTTTTAATTGATAGGACTTAATCTCTTATTACTATATGTGTTTAAAGGAAATTATGATCTAGTTTGTTTTATTAAAAGACTGTGATATAACTTACTATTTTACTGTCCTTTGTTGGCAGATATTTTAGATTAAATACCTAGTTCACATCGCTATATGGCTGGAATATTGCCGATGCGATGTAAAATTTAACTCACTCACTCACTCAACTCCCTTCCAAGTCTCAAGCAGTGTGCTGAACCTACAGCTAGGCAGGCTTTATCATCACGTTCAACAATACAGGGGAATCTATATTGTAGCATGGTAGAGGAACTAAGCTTTCTCATGACGTAACAAATGTTATATATGGGATAACACTTCCTTAGTAAAGTACAAAGTCTAGTACTTTCTTTGGTTGAGTCCCATCCGGGATTCGAACCAACACTCTCAGTGTGAGGTACCAAATCACTAGCACACACTCAGTCACCGAGGCTTCCACAAAAATGAAAGTCTGACAACTGGTAGTCTAGATCACATACTTTGTGTACCCCTCTGACCAGTGTAAATTGGCACTGCTCCCATGGCCGAAAGCTATGAATATACAATGTCATTATAAATTATGAAAGTATTAGAATTTGTACTTTACTAAGGAGGTATTATCCCAAATAGAATATTTGTAACATCTGACCACTTGCTAAACTGGATTGTATAGCCATATATCCTTACAATTTAAATGATAATGGCATAGTATCGCAATAGCGTTTATAACTATTTTATTGCAATGGTCAAAATACCTTTACAGTCAGAACCTGGGACTTTGTCACTTTGTGTTAGAATATGTAGTAGAATATATATGCATTTGCTTGTCACGCCGAAGACCCGGGTTCGATTCCTGACATGGGTACAATCTGTGAAGCCCATTTCTGGTGTCCTCCGACATGATATTCCTGGAATACTGCTAAAACCAAACTCACTCACTCAATGTAGAGCATGGTATATTCCTAAATATTTTAGTTTGGTACTGTTGTTACATGTTTATAAACATAATAATTGGTTATCTTGTTTTGAAATACATGTGTATACATATATGCAATTTGACTTTATATAAAACATATTAAAAAATCACTGTATAGTGTATGCTTATAGATATTTTGTCAATAAATCTATATACTGAATTATGTACAGTGCCACAGATTACAACTCTTAACAATAAGTGTATATGTTAACTCAAAAGTAATTGGAAAAAGGCAGTAACTTATTCATTTTGGGGCATTTCATATTGACTGGAATAACCTACTAAAGAATTGATAACAATCTGTTAGGAAAATATATTTATTTTGCGTATTAATATGAAAGGTTGTTCCAAAGTCATCTACATATGCAATTGTATTTGTGGTAATGGCTTTAATACAATAAGCAGAATTGAAAGTGAACCCATGTATTGCCTTTTATTTGTATTTCAATGACAAAAAACCTGGAACATCAATGGCCTGATATTTATTACAGTAAAAGAGCTAGGGATGTATTTTGGAAAAACAATTTCAAAAGCGAATAAAATGGGACCCTACTGATTTTTTTGTATCCTTCCCAAACCTGTCATGTTTTTATAAACACCACACCCCTGTTAAATAAACTTGTTCTTTTATGAATAAAAATTGTGACCAATTTAAAGCAAAATAAGCTAACTACCGTATTCGACGTAATAAGCGCCCCGGGCGCTCTCAAAATTAGAAATAGGGGGCTTTTATTAGAATATTATTTTGGTGGGAAAAAACAGTTGGAAGATCGTAAGTTTCGTGGTTTATATGCTGACAGCCTGAAATGTTTACATACGACTGATATATTTTTCCAGAATTTAATTGCCCATCATTAAGGGTGCATATAACACACGAGTGCATATTATACACGAATAAATAAGTCCTGTGTACATTAATCAATCGGAAAGGGGTGCTGATTGGGATTGTTCACTAGCCAATATATTTGCAAATATCGCCATGGGCGCTTATTAGAGCGGGGCCCTTATTACGTCGAATACGGTAGTTCATATGTGCAAATGCAATATATCATAGCAACTATACTGAACCGCAAAAGAAACGTCACCCCAAGTGACATTGCATGAAAAGTTATCATTTAAATATCTGGGTAATTTTTGTCAAAGTTTCTTAAATTTAACATTACCTTGTCCACTGCTGGTGGCACCAATGCTGGTGCTGTGTTGCCCACTGAAGACGGTCCCGGCGATTACGTGGTGGCAGTATGGCCTTTGAGGTTACACACAACCAAATGTTTTCCCATAGACTTCTATAGTAACGTTATAGCTTTTTAAAAAATAACTAGGCATTCAACAGCCATAACATTTACATATCTGCACAGTCTGGCCTTAAAGCTGCAATAAAAACACAAATTTTGGCTAGGTTACCCAGCTCCTTTTCCGAGTACAGGAAGCTGAACACACCAACCCCAGTTCCGCACCAAATATCACCTGCTTGAAAATATCTGTGCTCACATAAAGCACAAGTCATCTTGTTCAAAAAGTCAGCACCAAATATTGAAAAATATGGGCAGTTTTAATTACTGGATGGATGTGCATTTAAAAGACATAAAAATCTTACACAATATCATCCAATCACAGCCTGCATATGTCTCTTGATCTGTACTGAAGGCTCCCTACGAAAACCGCACTGTCACAACCAGTTCTGATTTAGTGTAGTAGAACCTGTAGACACAACTGTCTAAAACTGCACTTGTCAAATTTGTGATGTATTCATTGTAAATAGATGTAGCTTCTTGGAAACAAATGGAAATTGTTTCAAGTTCAATACTTTTTCCTATCTGACAGGTCTATATGACACCCATATACACATATCTGATGTACCAAAAGAGCTGTGAGGGTTAAATTATTTAGATTTTGTCAACTGATTACAAAATGAACTTCTGTTTTAATAAAGAACTTTCTATGACAGTACACAGGCCTTTATTGTTTATTCTTGTTTCACACAAGGATGGGTTCACAGGTCAATTCCATGGTTGCCAGACGCTGCTTCGAACATATCCCCCCAAAAGTATCTTTTCGACCCCGTATGATAGACAATACTTGGAAATTCAAAACAAATTAGGCTTTCATATTTTTAATTTATTAATGGTGAGTTGTTTGCTGACCTTTGCTGATAACAACTGAGGATAGCAAAGTCTGGTACATAACATGGAATTTGGTTGTGACACTAATAAGCTTAAGTCATAAAAGAAGCTGGACTCAGTGAGCTTGCTGGAACTGGTACCCCTGCCTTGTTTACATAGGCCAATATATAAATGACAGGTCCATATTTGGTATTTTAACTATGGGAGGTCAAGAACCAATGTTGATGCTTTCATTCCAAAGAAAAATTCATAGTGTCAACATCTTGAACCTACTCTTGAAACATGGGGAGACATCGAAGGAATTCGATAACATCTTTTAGAATGGGACATAAAGCTTGGAATTCAGGCAAAAAATTCACCAGTGAAAAGCAAAGCAACTTTAAAGTGCCAAAAACTGTCAGGTTGACAACTGAGCTCCACAAGAAAGTGTGCAGTGTAGGGGTGGCTGGTGTCCAGCAAGTTCAAACACTGACAAGTGAACCGTACCGTCTGTTAAGGCCAAGGAAGGAAAACACCCCTGAGGAGGATAAGAGTTCCCTGAAAACAAAAAGTGAAAGGTAATAACACTTTAAACTATTTATTCCTTTGGCCTAGACTTTGAAATACTTGTAGGGAATACAAGATGCTCACTGCTAAATGATATGGGTGGATAAACTTACCAAGTTCAAGTATTTGTCCTTTAACGAGATCACTTAATAAAAGTTTAATATAATGGACAGTTTTCAGTTATTAGGTACAGCAAGGGATCAAATTCTAATACATATATGAGTGGTTTGTTCAATACCATATAAAAAACAGTGTTGTTACACCCTAACTAAGGGCTTGAGGGGGATAGAAATAGAATATGCATTTGATCTGCCAGGGGAGATAATTCAGAAATGTCGAACACTATCACATACTTAAAAGGCTTATTTAGAAGTTTTCAAAGTAGTCAATGGGTTTTCTTTAATCTGCAGGACTGCTGCTGATGTTTACCACCTGTTGCATGTTGGAGAGACTGACAAACTGTACAATGAGGCATTCCGCCAGCACGCCAAGACTTCGCCTATGTGTAAGGGGGACATTGTCATGGACATAGACAATGAACAGCAGTGGGGACTGAACTGGATAGAGAGACTTAAATGCACTGACTGTACATACCTGTCAGAGTACCATAAACTGTACAAGGAGGTAGAGGGTAGTGGAATGAGAAGGGGACGTCGATCTTCCACTGCCAATACTGGACTTCAGATAGGCCTCTCAAAATGTCCCATTGGAAGTGAGAGTTTCCGTGTCCTGTGCATGAGTGCCGATATACCTCCACCATCCCATTCAGGGATGCAGAAAGCTGCGAACAGAGTTTGTGATAATATAAAATCTCAGAACACAAAGGATATGAGAGCCAGGAGGGTGGAAATAAGGGAAATAAATAAATACAGGGGAACAAATTTAAATAACATTAGTTTATCAACTGATGCAATGTACAACAATCCACTTTGTTCAGGTGTTGGGAAAACCCCTTTTCAGCCAGCCACTCAGGTAACCTATGTGGCCACTGAGAACCAAACTAGTGATCATCAAATTTTGGCTTTAAAAACAAAATCAAAGCTCTGTTCAAAGCACAGTTTAGTTGACAACATTTCTTGTGTCAACAACCCAGACTGCACATCTGATTTGCACATGTCAGAATCAATTGGTAATGAAAAACAGTTAGCTGCAGAGTGTTTCAGGGACTTAAAGAAAGATCAAATTGAGGTAGAATTTTTGACAACAGATGCTGACAGTGCAGCTCACACAGCTCTTTCTGAAATGTATGAAGCAGGTGATATGGATGTTTCCCCACAAACTTTTCTCGATACACGGCATCTCTCGGCCAGCCATAGAAAGTTTATTAAAAATTCTAAATTTGTTGTGGATATGATGCCTGCTAGAACCAAAAAAGACAAACAAAGTTTGGCAAATACATTTTCTTTAGACTGTGCATCCAGATGTGCAGCTGAGTTCTCAGCTGCTTACTCAAGTCATGCAGGTGACCTGACAAAGTTGAAGACATCTCTTTCATGTACTTCTGATGCTATTGCAAACTGTTACATGGGTGATCACAGAAAATGTAGAAGGCAGTCATTTGTTTGCAAGGGGGAGAAGAAAAATTGGTTATTGCAAAGTAAATATTTAGATAAAAGCTTCAAAATTGGAAACAATGAAACTAACTTTCAAAATTTGAGAAAATGCACTGATTTTCGTCTCGGCCCGAACATGATCGAAAAGACGCAATTCAACCTCAATAGTCAAAAGTGTGAGGCAACAAATAAGGCATTGCGCCGGTCATTACCTCGCGATACCACCTTTGCTCGTAACTTCCAAGGTAGAGCTCACAGTGCTGTTCATAGCGTCAACTGCCAGAGTCCGGTAAAGTCAATTCGCAATCTTCGATCAGGGCTTGGATGTGCTGTCACTGCAAAAGGAAAAATAGATGATGAGATAAGCAAAAGTCATAATAAAGTACTTAAAGCTAAAACATACAAGAAATCACAGAAAAGTAAGGACCGCCGTGCAAGGAAAAAGTTAGAACTATTCAAACTCCATCATTGTAGAAAAATTCATTATTCGAAAGACATGTTATTGAAAAGAAATGCATATTTGAGAAATTTACACCCAAAATAGGATAATCCATCTTAAAAATTGCCCCAAACAGAAAGATCTAATGATCAGATACATAACTTACACCAAACAGTAAGGTTTATGACTTTTGGTGCACAAGCCCTGTTGTCGACAGTGAAGTCTCTCCATGTTAATTTCATGGGACTCTACTTTCAAATGCTCAACATTCACACAAGAGGCGTTATGACAGAGATGGCTCACTTCAACTTTGTTGCCAAAGTTGTCAGTGTTGCTAAAACCATCTGGAAGGCATTTATGCACAATGCAGAGGGCTATTCTGTGAGCTCTCTCCTCTGTCCGCGCCTTTGACGGCCACAAAAAGAAGCAACGACCATAGCCCTGCTTATCACGGCAGCCCAACCATTCCTTACAACCCCATTTCCCACTCGCTTCACCCATTTTGCGTTCAAATTTGCCTCTACAATTATCCCAAAAGGTCTCCATGGCAATAGATATACAGAAAAACATATAAATTAGGAAATGCTGAAATATGCACTTACCCTACAGGTTACACACAACCAAATGTTTTCCCATAGACTTCTATAGTAACGTTATAGCTTTTTAAAAAATAACTAGGCATTCAACAGCCATAACATTTACATATCTGCACAGTCTGGCCTTAAAGCTGCAATAAAAACACAAATTTTGGCTAGGTTACCCAGCTCCTTTTCCGAGTACAGGAAGCTGAACACACCAACCCCAGTTCCGCACCAAATATCACCTGCTTGAAAATATCTGTGCTCACATAAAGCACAAGTCATCTTGTTCAAAAAGTCAGCACCAAATATTGAAAAATATGGGCAGTTTTAATTACTGGATGGATGTGCATTTAAAAGACATAAAAATCTTACACAATATCATCCAATCACAGCCTGCATATGTCTCTTGATCTGTACTGAAGGCTCCCTACGAAAACCGCACTGTCACAACCAGTTCTGATTTAGTGTAGTAGAACCTTGACACTGGAGGTGTCTGTTCGTCAATCGTCAACGCACGGTGTCCGCACTTAGGTGTCGCTGGTGTGTCCCCATGGTCTGTCGAGCTGATTCCGCAGCAGTATCAAAGCGACCTTGAAGATGCTGTCGCACAATCTGACGATCCTGATGTCGGGTGATGACCCTTGGTTTTCCACTAAGTGGTCGGTCATCTGTAGTTTTGGTGGTCTGGTACCATTGCTGGAGCCTGTATATGGTCCTTACGTGGACTTGAAATGCATTGGCTACTTGCCAGGCGGTTTGTCCAGCTTGCAATCGTCCAAGGGCTTGGTGTCGCTGATTTCTTGTCAGTCTTGGTATGTGGTAGCAATTCAATAATGAATGAATGTTACCGATCCAGGTGGATTTTTATAGGGCAAGAAATGGGGGAATGCATGTGCGTTTGGGCGATCGGTTTTATTGTCATCTGCTTTGTTTTTTTATCCTCAAATTTCATTTTCCGGACAAGGTAATGTTAAATTTTAGAAACTTTGACAAAAATTACCCAGATATTTAAATGACAACTTTTCATGCAATGTTACTTGGGGTGACGTTTCATTTGCAGTTGAGTATATTTACTCTTATTATGTCTCCCACTAGTAATATACACCCTCATATAAAAAATAAAATATTATATATCAATTCCATGTCTACATCTCTATTTGTAATTGAAGCCAGCTGCAGTTTTAACTCCACGGCATAATGACTTTCATATAAATAAACAATTGACATAGCTATTTATTCTTATTTTTATTTCGACTAACCTTGTGTGGAAAAGCTGGAATAAATCTGTAAAACATAAATAAAAAAAGTGTCGCTTTGATCATCAGTTATCAGTGAACCACAAGTCAGTTTGGTCTCTACAAAGCCAGAACATTAGTTATGACTATATTAACATGAATCTGGAACATTTATAATTGCAATTTAGGACTTTTTACTGATTTGCTGCCGAATAAGTGCCTCTGAGCAGTTCTAGATAAATACATGCCTATTTTCCCAAGCCTTGATAAAGAAGACAAGTCCACCTGTTGTCTCATTAAATGTTTTTCTGTTCCAGGATACAAACCTAACATGGTACAACAGTTGGCCAGAGTTGACCACCTGCTTCCAGGACACACTCCTTGTGTGGGTCCCATGTGGATGGCTGTGGCTGCTGTCTCCACTTTATGTGTTCTACCTCACATCACAAACTGATGATGTCATCAAATTAAGCCTTTTATTCATAGCCAAGTTGGTATGTTTTGTAACACAAATTCACACATAAATTGCTTGATAGGCATTACTTAGAAGTTGACGGATGACAAGATAGACGCAATTTTATTGATAACAACTAAGTTGTTATCAATAAAATTGTGTCTATCTTGAAAATCACACATGTCATTACCTTTTTATTGACTTTCCTATAATCAAAGCACAGATGATGATCTATCGAGTACAAAATGTTTCTTTTATAACAATAAGATGATTTATGTATTTGACTGATCTCTATAACAGTTTTATTATTTACCATTTTGATAAAAACTTGGTACTGAATGATATTCACAGTAAAAGTATTATACCTTAGTGATTAGTGATGTACTTAGTGATATTCATAGTTTTATAATACTTCCGAGGTAGGGTATAACATGACATTTACACTCATTATAGAGGCCATAACTGAGGCTTGATATGAGGTGAGGTGAGATGAAATGGGGTTTAACGTTGCGTCCAAGATTATTACACTTATATATATAGCGATGTGCATGCATGTGTGTGTGTATGTGTTTGTGTGTGGCTGCTTTTCTCAGTCCGGACTGATGCCGATTTACAGTGCTAGCCCAATGAGATACCCTGTTGCAGTTGAACATGAATACCCCCATCTTCCCGAGGCAAAGGAGTTAACTGACTATAAAAGTCCAGTTTCCACCCTTGCCGAACTAGGCTGGGATTATGGAGTTACATTTTGGCTGGACTAACGAGTCTATGCATAGTCCAATCAAAATCGCGAACCGAAATCGAAATCCTGTTTGTAAACTGTCATGCAGAGTTCTGTCGATTGCAGGATTTGCAAAGCATGTGCGTCACAAACTCGTTGTCAAAAGATATTTTCCAAATCTTTTCATGTTTTTTATCAAGGTACTCACGTGATTTGAAGCTAGAACCGTTTTATCACAAAATAGATCTTGATGGTCGATCAGATCGCCTTGACTGGTCACCACCATTTTGTTTGAAGCAAATGCATGTGATACGAGAGGTGGATTCTGATTGGTCCATATGGGAGAGGCATAGAATGGACATAACACGTAATAGCCACTGGTGGTGCTACGATCGAGCCCAGGAATTCCAGCCTAGTTCGGCAGGGTGGTAACTGGACTTCAGGAAACTTGAGTCAGTTAACGCTCTTGCCTCGGGAAGATGGAATACCCCACTCAGACACAGTATACTGACTCTGGGCTGACCAGTCCTTGTTTTACTTCCTTAATGCCGAGCACCAGAAAGGGTAACAACAAGTACCACCTTTAACGTCTTTTGGTATGACGCTGCCAGGGCCAAAACCCCGGACCTTCCCCTCTCCGGGCGTACGCTCTACCACTAGACCACGGAGGCGGTCGCTTGATACGAAGTAGTATTCACACTATACTGGTTATAACAGGCCTAGTACTAAGTGATATTTACACTCTACAGGTTATAACAGGCTTGTACTGATATTCACACTTTACAGGTTATAACAGGCTTGGTACAAAGTGATGTTCATAGTATTATAACATGACTAACTGGTACCCATTTTCATTCACTCCAGAAAAATATTGTTTCACTGGCAGATAGCCTTGGGATTTTTAAGCTATCCACTCTGCAGTGAATTACCAATGGAATATCTATCTCTTCACCATTGTCATTGCATTACACATTATGTGGGAATATCACTACATCATTTAGCGTGAAGATCCAGGGTAGAATAGGTCTTCAGCAACCATGCTTGCTGTAAAAGGCAACTATGCTTGTCGTAAGAGGCGACTAACGGCATCGGGTGGTCAGGCTCACTGACTTCACTGATGCATGTCATCATATCCCAATTGTTTGGATCGATGCTCATGCTATCAATCACTGGATTGTCTGGTCCAGACTCGATTTTATTTACAGACCACTGTCATATAGCTGGACTATTGCTGACAAAACATACAAACAAACAAACATCATTTGGCAAAGGCACCACAATAATAAAGGAATTATATATTTGACAGCTGGCAGATGAGGCAAACAAACCGGTTACATTTTTTTTACCCAATGCATTCGGATAAACATTGGTTCATTTCAGCTCAACAATACCTATGCAAGATACGCAAGTTACCTGAGGTGTGTTCCGATTGATTTCTTAGTAGGGTACACAAGCGGGCTATATGAGCGGGCTATATGAGCGGGCTTCTTAGAAATTAATTGCCTGCTCCTTAACCAATCACAAGCTAATATTATTATGTAAGGTGAGATAACAGCTGAATCTGTTTTATGTTTATGTCTTTTTATCACGCTTATTATTCTCTTGTAGTTCACATCTTGTCTGTTGATGGTGACCACTCTTGTGAACATGATACAAGTTTTCAGCCATCACCATGACAACCAGTCTCCTTCCTATTTTACTGCTGACGTCATCTCACCTATCATCCTCTTCTTCACATTGGTAAGTAAAATATACACCTTTGAAAAGAGTTAAACGCCCATCTGCCATTTTCACCAAGAAGTTTGAAAATCTGTGCACTGGCCCCAAATCTGAGACACTGAGAAATTAGGCATGATACTGTTTCCTGAAAGAGTAATTCTTTGTCGATTATTTTGGACAACAATTATGACACTTCATAAAGTGGTATTCTAATATTGGTGGACATTTCATTGAGTGTATTATTGGCAAAACTCGTGTGTGACTTAATTATGGAGTTACAGGGTGTCAGTTGTTAAAAATTATTTTTATGCCCCCAACATGACTTCCTGGGAGTCCTATGATGAGACTGTCAATAACATGTAAAGCCGCCACATGCCTAGATTACTGCCTCAACCCTCCTCCTCATACCTCCAGTGAGGTGTCTGATGCACTTCTAGGGTAGGTTTGCCATTCTCAGTGCAATGCGTGTGACAGTTCCTGTATATTGGCTACGAGTGGGTCCTGCTTTTACGCCCCACGATATATATATATGACAGATGCAGGCCAAGGGATGGTTGTGAAGGCATTCTGTTGGAAAGACTGAAAGTTACCTCTTGTGAACAGTGTTGTCTCGCATTGTCGTCCAGGTCTGGTAGCCAGTGAGTGCTTATAAATATACATGATATGGTACAATGATCGGATTCAGAATTTGAAGCCATTTACCTATCACCCAATTCCCCTGCATAGTGACCACTCAGCGTCCAGTCATGGAATGGCTGACTACATCATGATTGATCCTCCACCAAAGGGGACTCTGGGACGAATGTTCTGTGACATGCAACAAGAACCTGATCTCATCTGCCTAGTGGATTTTCCTCCATACCCTCAACGTTTTGCCAAACACCATCCTAAAAAGACACTGCAAGGAACTGACAGCATATAGGTCGCTTGATCACCCTCCTTATCCTGTTGCATTGAGTCGACTTCTCAATGTCCGTGATGACAATTGTCTGTGGGGCATTCAGTTCTCCTTCAGAAAGGTGATTGTGCTTGTAGGTTGGTTGGTTTGTTTGTTGTTTAACGCCGCACTCAACATCATTCCTGCTATATGAGGGCGGTCCGTAAATGATCGAGTCTGGACCAGACAATTCAGTGATTGATATCATGAGCATCGATCAACGCAATTGGGATCGATGACATGCATCAACCAAGTCAGCGAGCCTGACCACCCAATCCCGTTAGTCGCCTTTTACGGCAAGCATGGGTTGCTGAAGACCTATTCTACCCTGGATCTTCACAGGTCATGCTTGTAGGATTGTAGGATTGTCCCTATACCAAGTGAAGCAGGTTGTAATCTTCGCATGCTAGCATCACACAAGGACCTCCAGACCTTGGATGGTCCTTTACCTCATTAACTAGCTGATATTTCTGTGCCAGTCTGCTTAAAACCAAATTGTGGTAACGGAGCTGACCAACAATGGTCGTGGTTCATTCGAGATTAATTTCCTCAAAATGCTATTCAATATATTTCACTTTCACAAAATGAACATCTTGTCTGTAAGAAATATGATTGAATGGTCTAAAGTATTTTAGTTGTAAAACACACCTCACTCAGAAAATGTGATATACCGTATTTGAAGTAATAAGCGCCCAGGGCGCTCTCAAAATTAGAAATAGGGGGCTCTTATTAGAATAATATTTTGGTGAAAAAAACAGAGTTGAAAGATAAATTTTCGTGGTTTATGCTGACAGCCTGAAATGTTTATAAACGACATATATATTTTTCCAGAATTTAATTGCCCATAATTAAGGATGGAATGGGTGCTGATTGGTATTGTTCACTAGGCAATATACTAAGAAATATCTTATTACGTCGAATACAGTAATCAAGAATAGACAGTAATTCCTTTGGAAGTGCATTGCTCATACACATCAACACTGTGAATGTTATACCCAGGATGTACATTACTGCTGACATTGCTGTGCTGTTGGCTGTAGGCGTTGTCCTGTGGCCTATCTATGCTGGAGAGGAAGAAGGGCTTCATCACATCAGGCGTGCTGTTCTTCCTCTGGCTTTTCCTGGTCCTCGCCGGAATTATCCCCTTCTACCACATCATCATACAAAAGGCAGGCACTGAGCTTTTCTGATAAGGGCTAACTAATTAAATGTTGTTGGTTTATATTATTACTAACTAATTATGGGCTGATAAGCAAGGAAGCGTTAGTTTTATTAACAATATTTTTGTCTACATAAAGGTGGTTCTACATGCCAGATACAAATAGCCAAAAGATTCCCTACAGGTTTCATTTGAGGTACTGGTAAATTATGTACTATAAGTTTGAAATTCAATGGAACATTGCAGATTCATTTTGTGTTACAATAGCTGTTTAATATTTTCGTTGTTTCATACATGTTCACCAGGCATCCTGCAGTTTGGCCTGTTCGACTACTACTCTCCATAGTACTGACAGTACAACTACTTTTATACATATTTCAGACTTATTAAAACAGACATCTTGCAGTGCCCCCAGTTCTATTGCAACAATATGATATATACTAAAACAACTACTTCTGTACTCATTTCAGACATGTTCAACAGATGTCCTGAAGTGTGCCATGTTCTACTGCTACTATTTACTCATCATAGTACAACTAGTTCTACACTCATTTGCAGAGAAGAGGAGTAAAACTTACATAGCAACAGTAAGATACTCTTGACATTCCTGAAAATGAATGCTCTGAATTCATTAAGCTCATTAAGTACAATGTACTACCTCCCCACAAGGTCAAGGAATGCATTTTATATCATGATTTACCAGGTAACAACAAAGTGAGTGAGTGAGTTAGGTTTAACCCCACTTTTAACATTATTCCAGTTATATCACGGCGTGTCAGCTTAATGTGGGAGGAAAGCCCCAAGTGATGCAGGTCTCAGACGTTAACCACTTCGGTGAAACCCATGAGCACGGGTATGGTGCTGACAAACCTAGAAACATAATCGGGGCGAACCGTGATTTGTCGCCTTTTACGGCAAGCATGGGTTGCTGAAGACTTAATCTAACGCGGATCTTTACGGGCTGGAAGTTATATGAACACAAAGTTCTTTCCATGATCCATAATAAATGAAAAAATATGGTACTTGTTGTAACCCTGCCTGGTGCTCGGCATTACGGATACAACAAAAACCAGCCAGCTTGGAGTCAGTATACTGTCTGAGTGGGACATCCATGTTAAATTGCAGCATGGTGAGTGAGTTGGGTTTAACGCCGCTTTTAACAGTATTCCAGTTACATCATGGCGTGTCAGCTTAATGTGGGAGGAAAGCCCGAGGTGATGCAGGTCTCAGACATGTACCCAGCACGGGTATGGTGCTGACAAACCTAGAAACATAATCGGGTCGAACCGGGATTTGAACCCCAAATCATAGGTTTCTGGCGTGCCCAAGGGATGCAACTCTGCACAGCGAATCGTGGCGCCTTAGACAACTGGACCACCCGTACCCCCAACAACAAAGTATTTATGTAGGTTGTTCCTAGCACAGAACATCACCATACACCTACAATAGGTTTCTATTTCAGAAAATGCCTATGCCTAATGGTATATTAGGAGTTACTCTTAAATGTGACAATTGTCTATTAGGGGATTGTGTTATTACAATATTTGTTTACATAGTGTTATTTTGCCAATCTCATTAAATTCAGATCTTAGTTCTTGCTATCGCTAAACAAAGATCTGAGGACATCCCATTACGGGTCATGTCAGACCGACCTTTCATCTGACCAATCAAAGCGTCGCTTACCAGATCATGAAAGTGACAGTCGGAATGTATTTTCTAATCATGCAACCTCGAAAACGTTAACACAGGGTATTCCGAACGACAATTACGGCCTGTACAACTGGTTCCATCAAAACTATCGTCTATCTTGCTTCTGTAGGATAAACAATTGAATGGAGGAGGCTTTGCACACTACGTGGGAAGCCCTGCCATACAATCGCAACCATATATTAGACATTCCGGAATGTTCGTTTGTTCAATTTTCAAAATTTTAATCGAGAACTCTGTCAACATATTTTTCAAGTGTAGTCTGAAATGGAAGTTGCCATGTTGAAATGAGTGCCGTAAAGCTCGATAAAGCTGCTTTCTTATAAACTGATGTCGACTTCTTGTTAGTCGTTTCAGTGGTCGGTCAAATATCACGAAGGGATGTTCCGACGTGACCCTTAATGGAATGTCCTGAGATCTTTGTTTAGCGGCATTGAGAACTTACATCTGATTTTAATGAGATTTCTATTTTGCTTTCAATACATACAGTATGTTCATGCCTAAAACCACAATTCTACCATGGCATCGAAGGATGGTCTAAGTTAATTGGTTAATTCTACTATTTTTAAAGTGGTTAATGAGTGATATCCACTAGTACTACTGATTTTAGGGCTGCTTCATATCGCAACCACTGCATTCAGATTCTTTAAGACATTTACTGGTATTTAATCAATGTTGAACTGCTTCAAACTAGAAAAACAGAATAGGTTTATCTCCTGAGTACATCATGGATATGGCAAAGAATGTTCATTTACCTATTAATTGTATTAATTTTGAAACAACCACCTGACAGTCATTTTCCCAAGATAGATGACATTTAATCGGAGTAAAGAGACATAGAATTATTGGAGGCTTAAAGTAAGTGTCCTGGGCCCACTTGCACAAAACGATCTTAGCGCTAAGACTATTGTAAGCCTATGTTAAAGTATGGGAGTTAAGATCATCTTAGCGCTAAGATCGCTCTGTGCAAGTGGGCCCTGGGTTATTAGGCATTGACACATCAGCACATTCTGTCCCCCAACAATGACAGAATGCCATGTTTTCCTGATTCAGTAAGAAGTAACACACACCCTCAGGGCATGTATTTTGATAGTCATTGCCTTGATACCTTGATTGAATATCTAATCTGAGGATGAAGTAACGTGGCTACAGAAGGCGGTGCCTAGTGGGATGGTGACAGGTTTGCGAGGACCTCCTGCATGTGATTATAGTTTACTTCTTGTGTTCCAGTCTCCAGAGGTGGACGCCTCCTTCTTGTCAAGAGTGCTGTATGAGTGGACAGCGAGGTTGGTAGCAGTGTGACACCCTTCTGCACTATTTGTTTGTCCGTCCCTTCCGTCTAAACCCATGACCCAACCTTCTTGTCCAAAGATTTGTATGAGTGGACAGCGAGGTTGGTAGCAGTGTGACACCCTTCTGCACTATTTGTTTGTTCAATCCTTGCGTCCAAACCCATGACCTATCCTTCTTGTCCGAAGATTTGTGTCAGTGGACAGCAAGCTCGGAAGCAGTGTGACACCCTTCTGCACTATCTGTTTGTCCTTCCCTTCTGTCTAAACCATCAACCCATCCTTCTTGTCAAGAGTGCTATGCCAGTGGACAGCGAGGTGGGAAGCAATGTGTCACTCCTCTACAGCATCCATTTGTTCCATCTTTCTGTCCAAACCCTCGACCAATCCTTCTTGTCCAAAGATTTGTATCAGTTGACAGCGAGATGGGTAGCAATGTGACACCCTTCTGCTAGTTGGTTGGTTGTTTTACACTGCACTCAGCAATATTCCAACTATATGACGGCGGTCTGTAAATAATCGAGTCTGGACCAGACAATCCAGTGATTGATATCATGAGCATCGATCCATGCAATTGGGATCAATGAGATGCTTCAACCAAGTCAGCGAACCTGACCACCTTCTGCACCATCTGTTTGTCCTGTTCTGTCCAAACCTTTGCCCCATCCTTCTTATCAAGTGTTTTGTATCAGTGGACAAAAACAAGGTTGTCTGTCTATCGTAATAGCCACATCTTGTGTGTCATAACACACTGCCAACCTTTTTGTATATACATGCATTAGAAAATTATTTTAAAGAAAATATTCCTCAATACAAGCAAAATAATTCTCATCTCAACAAAGCTCTTGAAAATTATTCTCTGAAATGTTCATAAAAATAATTCTTATTAATAAAAAACTTATTTTTTTTTTTAGAAATATATATATATTTTTAGATAATTACAGTGATTTATTTTGTTTGAACAATCACAAGTAGTTTGAGAGGTTAATCTGAGACCTGTGAAATCATATTTATTTATAATATACCATTTTGCATTTGTTTTGGACAGGCCACAAAAAGTCTAATTACTGTTATATAAACTTGGTTGCAGTCTTGATAATATTTGTGTTATTTTCCTCTAAATATTACTCATTGGTCAATGGAGTACAGCTTTCACACTCTATCTCAATAATTAAGTGATATTTGAAGGAAAGGGAATGCCAAAAAAGTGTATGTGTTTGTTACAGGCTTGTTATTAATGGCTACAAGACCCCTATAAAGGAGAAAGATGTGTACAACATCCATCCAGATGCTGTATGTGCAAGACTGATGGAACCTTTCCTTCCCAACTGGCATCAGGTGAATGAAAATTTTAAAGCAACAAAAAGGTGAGCTATGGGAAGTTATATGATTAGTTCTTAGTTGGTTTGTTGTTTAACGCCGCACTCAGCAATATTCCAGCTATATGACGGCGGTCTGTAAATGATCGAGTCTGGACCAGACAATCCAGTGATTAACATCATGAACATCGATCCAATCAATTGGGATCGATGACATGCATCAACCAAGTCGGCAAGCCTGACCACCCAATCCAGTTAGTCGCCTCTTACGACAAGCATAGTCGCCTTTTACGGCAAGCATGGGTCGCTGAAGACTTATTCTAACATGGATCTTTACGGGCTAGAAGTTATATGAACACAAAGCTCTTTCCATGATCCATAATAAATGAAAAAAGATGGTGGTACTTGTTGTAACCCTGCCTGGTGCTCGGCATTTCAGATACAACAAAAACCAGTTAGCTTGGAGTCAGTATACTGTGTCTGAGTGGGACATCCATGTTAAATTGCAGCAGTGAGTGAGTTGGGTTTAATGCTGCTTATAACAGTATTCCAGTTATATCATGGCGAGTCAGCTTAATGTGGGAGGAAAGCCCGAAGTGATGCAGGTCTCAGACATGTACCCAGCACGGGTAGGGTGCTGACAAACCTAGAAACATAATCGGGGTGAACCGGGATTCGAACCCGCAATCATAGGTTTCTGGCGTGCCCAAGGGACACAACTCTGCACAGCGAATCGCGGCGCCTTAGACGACTGGGCCACCCGTGTCCTCTTGCAGCAGGGTATCTCAGTGGGCTGGTATTATGAAACTGACATAAATCCAGACTTGTATGCAGCCTCACACATGCATGCATGTCACATGATAATAGCAAGAAGAAGAAGAAGTGGAATAGTCAATTTTTATGGCACTATACTCCTTGCATAAGCATTCTCAATGGACAAGTGTGCTCTCAACATTCATTCTCAGCTCCCCGGGGAGTACTAGAAGGTTAACAACCACATTACCATCTAATCCTACCGGGTACCCATTCACTGCTGGGTGAACAGAGGCCATTTCAAACAAAGTCACTTTCCCAAGGAGACACCACATGTGTTACATGTCCTTCAGTGTGCGACAGGACCGAAGCCCTAGAAACTCTCATGAGTGAAATAATCGTGATTAACAACATTAAACCCCATTTCACCTTTCCGTGACCCTTCTAGTCTGACCCATGTGATGAGTAGTATGAAATCAGTGGTGGCAGACCCTGCTGATGTAAGGTTACTAGATCAAATAACACAAACAGTTGCCAGCAAGCTTGTGACAACATAGTGCCTGAACAATTAGAGTAGAGCTGTGCTGGGGCTGGGCTGGTAACTTGGGTATCTGGGTCGGGTGGGTACTGAGTAGGACCCGGGTTCCCACAGGACTGCCCGGACCCATGGTTAGTCATGTGATATATTGTTTAATGACAAAAATTATATAGAACTCTATGGTTACACTACAAGTCACTAATGTTCGCATTTCTTTCTAACTCTGCATGCACCCATTCCTTCCTATTTTCATTTGATTGAATAAAGATATAACTTAATTCAGCTTAAGTGTATGAATGACCAGATTGTTTAGTACATGAATCTAAATACGTTTTGCCAGGGCTATGCTAAAAATGTTCCCAATCTGACATTTTGAGACATCTCCTGAGACCTGCAGTATAGGTACCCGGGTAGGGTCGGGTAATCGGGTGGGTACCCGGGTGGTAAATTTGGACTCGTCAAAGCCCTAATCTGTGCCATGATCCATTCACTGGTACAGGAGAAAAATATCTGATCTTACTTTGAAGTGGCTTTGAAAGCACTCCAACAACTATTAACCAGATATCATGGTATATATATAGTATCTTTCCATGAAAAGGTCAAAAGGCAAGGTCATGACAAAACTATTGATGCATTCATCACTAAACTTAGTACATACCTTGTACACAATGGGGTATTGTTTAGAAACGTTTTGTTTTAGATTAGTCCAAGGTGAAGGTCAGCTTTCAGGTTTTCGTAAAATATGTTTATATCCTTGTCATTTTCTCAAGCATATTTACGTCTAAAGGTATGGAACTTTATGTTTACACGAATATTAACAAAGCCTCCCACGTTACATGTCAATTGCATTTATGCCAAACATCAAGGTAACATATGAGGTATTTATTAAATGTATAATTTTGTGTCATACTTTCTCTTGAATATGGCGGGGGCACGGGTGGCCCAGTCGTCTAAGGCGCCGCGATTCGCTGTGCAGAGTTGCGTCCCTTGGGCACGCCAGGAACCTATGATTGTGGGTTCGAATCCCGGTTCGCTCCGATTATGTTTCTAGGTTTGTCAGCACCCTACCTTTGCTTGTGGGTTTCACCAAAGTGGTAAAGGTCTGACACCTGCATCACTTCGGGCTTTCCTCCCACATTAAGCTGATACGCTATGATATAACTGGAATACTGTTAAAAGCGGCGTTAAACCCAACTCAACTCAACTCAACTCTTGAATATGGCACAAAGATTACTGACATTGGATGACATGCTACAATGGACTTATTCCAGATGGTCCTGGGAAAGTCTTTTGTTACATACTGTGAAAATATCAAATTTCTTTCTAAAAAATATCAATGCATTTATCATAACCTAGTATATACCTTCCTGAGGAGGGGTCCTGGCTTTGGTTAAGGTTATTATTCAGAGCAGTATTAACATTGTCTTGTTTTGTGTGTCATTGTTTCCAGCATGTGCAGTGAACTTGACTGATGCCAGTGTTCGAAATACCTGCCTGCCAGACCGTCCGAGACGGGTTGATTTCAACTCGGACTGCCAGATTTTCAAATCCCCCTGCCCGACGGTCGGGTTATATTTCATATGTGAAAATATTCAAAATATTTCCCGATGATAAGCATTAATTCACATGTAAAGATGAATGATAAAATGTAACCAAAAAGAAACCCTGTTAGCTTATCCTGAGAAACATATGATTATAGTGGGCAGGCAGGTTTTGGTCAGGGCTGGCAAGTATTTCAGCTAGCCAGTCCTGTGGTCTGGCTGAAATTTTTGGGAGTTTCATACCCTGCTGATGCATCCCTTTATTAAAGTACTGTCGGAAATGCTAGAAAAATGATTTTTGACGTTAAAAAAGGATAAAAAAAATTCACAGGCTGTTGCTATTGTAATATAGAGTAACTACCGATTGATCTACCAGTGATTGGAAGTATTTCAGTCACAAGGAGTCCTATCGTCAAGTTTACGGGGGAAAAAATTCAACGAAAACAGTTTGTTCACATTTATTATAAGTCCAATGATGGCAGTCTGAAACGGACTAGAGGAAATATGAGCACGTGACTTTGTTCTAACATAACAAAATGACTCTGCATTTGTTTTGTCAACACTGCTCCCATGATGCATGTTACATTAAACTTGCATAGCCAAGTCTGTATTAGGAAAGTTCTTTACACTTTAGAGAAAGGGAGTAAACATTTATTTGTTTAGATAGAGCGAATTACCGAAATGCCCAAGCTATGGAGTTTTCAATTCATACCATCAAGTCTACGGATTGATAAATAGAACAATAAGGTTTAAGGGTTGTCTCAAAAACAAAACCGGGACGTAAAAGGGTATAGTGTACAAGCTTTATGAGCAGAAGGTACCCTTCACTCGTTGTAAAATTCAGAAGGAAATTAAAGATACAATTAATGTTTCCCTGACTGCACTAATTATTGCCGATTTCGATACACTGCGCGTGGCGATGACCCAGCAGTTTCCAAGGGAGAATATTCCATCCTGTCGGTGAGGTCACATTATCTCCACACCATTCATTGCAGTCATGGTGTCCAGATCATTTACTTTGATGAATCATTCCACTGGCAATATGTGGCTATCGGCAGATGGACAAAAAGCACCCATGGTACCACCTGGGAAAGGTAATCGTGTCATTGTTTTGCACGCCGCAACCTGTGATCTGGGGCTTATTGATAAATGTGTGCTAGTTTACAACGAAAAAGAAAATGATAGGAGGTGATGTGTTCATAGACTGGTTGGAACATCAGCTGTTGCCCATTTTAGACAACGCCAGTGTCATTGTCATGGATAACGCCTGTTAATATAATCGCCTGGAATCAGATACTGTCGACTTCAGACCATCATGGAGTAAATTCAGCTGAATAAGAAACTAGTAAAGTACAAGACATACGTGCTTGCGGCACAACACCGTCACGCAGTGTTAAGTATGCCAGTCAGAAATTGTGAGCTCAAACCTATTGTGCCTCTTGGGTAACTGTGAAGGGCTCCTGGCAAAACATAACACAACATTCAAACTCACACATTTCAAAGGGAGGATAAACGCAGTCTTTGCTAGACATCAGCCTTGTTGAACCAGTTATCATACCTTTTGGTGATAAAACAGATTCGTATTCGTCTACAAAAAGAAACCATCTGTAGAACAACAAATACTTCTTGATTCAAAAACCACAACCTTCCAATACCCATCACATTTCATAGCTTTTAAATGTTCCATCATTTTTCCAACAAATATAATGCAGTACATTTCCTTAATTGCTACCCATCAATGCACAGGTCAATTGAGTATAACAACAGAAATATTTTGAGACCACCCCTAATGCGGTGACATTTGCACCTGTGAGAATGCACGGGACGGTGTGAGGTCATCACCTTGGGACAGGTGTTAGGTGATTACCCCAGGTTATAGGTCGTTTCATACATGCATGACAACACACTCTAAGTTTATCATCATTTTACCTGTAAAAGTACATTTTAAGGGTAATCACAGTGTTAGTTAGGATAAGCTAAATTAGGTCAATTTGCGTTTCTTTGATATATGCTATTTTCACAGCCTTATGACTTGTATTTATTAAATGATGCCAGAAAAGCATTTTTTCTAGCATTTCTGACAGTACTTTAATGTAAGCAAGGGACACTCACTTTTTTCACATTAATTTTGATGTTTGACAGTTTGGTTTTTTTTGCAGGAAATCTGACAAACAAAAAGAAGCTTTTCAGAAAGGCAAGTCTTCCATCCATTTCACCAACCATCACACGTCAGATGAGTCAACTCCACTCCTGGACTTCAAACGTCACTCTAACAATGCAAGCCAAGAGGAAAAAGTAGCCCCACCAACGAAGAAGCCCAACAAATACCCATCTCTTTTGTCGGCCCTGGTGAAGACGTTCGGCATTCCAATTCTAATCAGCCATGTACCCAAACTAGTTTATGACTTACTCCTCGTGTTTACACCACAGATACTGGGGTAAGTCCACCTTGACATACAGCTATATACGGAGTGAACAACTGTGCAGGAATTATTAGGGTTCATACATTGTACAGGGGGCCTGATAGGGGTACACTGCTAAGTGTAAAGCAACGAAAATAAAACTATCCTAAACGTGAGATGAACATAAAATGTAAATGAAATACTGTTCATGCTACATGCAATCATGCTACAATCCTTTAAAAGTCATATATATAAGTGGAGTCTGTTGAAGAGAGGGTTATCTGTTATTTCTGTCTGTTGAAGGGAGGGTTATCTGTTATTCCTGTCTGTTGAAGGGAGGGTTATCTGTTATTCCTGTCTGTTGAAGGGAGGGTTATCTGTTATTCCTATCTGTTGAAGAGAGGGTTATCTGTTATTTCTGTCTGTTGTAAAGAGGGTTATCTGTTATTTCTGTCTGTTGTAAAGAGGGTTATCTGTTATTTCTGTCTGTTGAAGAGAGGGTTATCTGTTATTTCTGTCTGTTGAAGGGAGGGTTATCTGTTATTTCTGTCTGTTGAAGAGAGGGTTATCTGTTATTCCTGTCTGTTGAAGGGAGGGTTATCTGTTAATCCTGTCTGTTGTAAAGAGGGTTATCTGTTATTTCTGTCTGTTGTAAAGAGGGTTATCTGTTATTTCTGTCTGTTGTAAAGAGGGTTATCTGTTATTCCTGTCTGTTGTAAAGAGGGTTATCTGTTATTTCTGTCTGTTGTAAAGAGGGTTATCTGTTATTTCTGTCTGTTGAAGAGAGGGTTATCTGTTATTTCTGTCTGTTGAAGGGAGGGTTATCTGTTATTTCTGTCTGTTGAAGAGAGGGTTATCTGTTATTTCTGTCTGTTGAAGTGAGGGTTATTTTTTTTCAGTTGAAGAGAGGGTTATCTGTTATTTCTGTTTGTTGAAGTGAGGGTTATCTGTTATTTCTGTCTGTTGTAAAGAGGGTTATCTGTTATTTCTGTCTGTTGAAGTGAGGGTTATCTGTTATTTCTATCTGTTGTAAAGAGGGTTATCTGTTATTTCTGTCTGTTGTAAAGAGGGTTATCTGTTATTTCTGTCTGTTGAAGAGAGGGTTATCTGTTATTTCTGTCTGTTGAAGGGAGGGTTATCTGTTATTTCTGTCTGTTGAAGAGAGGGTTATCTGTTATTTCTGTCTGTTGAAGGGAGGGTTATCTGTTATTCCTGTCTGTTGAACGGAGGGTTATCTGTTATTCCTATCTGTTGAAGAGAGGGTTATCTGTTATTTCTGTCTGTTGAAGAGAGGGTTATCTTTTTTTCAGTTGAAGAGAGGGTTATCTGTTATTTCTGTCTGTTGAAGGGAGGGTTATCTGTTATTTCTGTCTGTTGAAGAGAGGGTTATCTGTTATTCCTGTCTGTTGAAGGGAGGGTTATCTGTTATTCCTGTCTGTTGTAAAGAGGGTTATCTGTTATTTCTGTCTGTTGTAAAGAGGGTTATCTGTTATTTCTGTCTGTTGTAAAGAGGGTTATCTGTTATTCCTGTCTGTTGTAAAGAGGGTTATCTGTTATTTCTGTCTGTTGTAAAGAGGGTTATCTGTTATTCCTGTCTGTTGTAAAGAGGGTTATCTGTTATTTCTGTCTGTTGTAAAGAGGGTTATCTGTTATTTCTGTCTGTTGTAAAGAGGGTTATCTGTTATTCCTGTCTGTTGTAAAGAGGGTTATCTGTTATTTCTGTCTGTTGTAAAGAGGGTTATCTGTTATTTCTGTCTGTTGAAGAGAGGGTTATCTGTTATTTCTGTCTGTTGAAGAGAGGGTTATCTTTTTTTCAGTTGAAGAGAGGGTTATCTGTTATTTCTGTTTGTTGAAGTGAGGGATATCTGTTATTTCTGTCATAAAGATAGATTGGTCGCTGACCTCAGAGTATAGGGGGATCCAGAGCGGGTGTCCAGGACCACTCCCTTTTGAAAATGCTGTATCTGCCCTTGCAGAGAGTTGGTGAGCTTCACTGAAGACTCGAGCATCCCAGCATGGAAGGGTTACGTGCTGGCTGTTGCACTGTTTGTGTCATCAGAGGTCCAGTCCCTTATCATACAGAAGGTCACATATGATTCTTTCATCTACGGGATGAAGATACGGGCAGTTCTAATATCTGTTATCTTCAGGAAGGTATGTTTCTTGATAATATGTTTCCACAACCCAAGCACTGTATATAGCAATTTTAGAAAATATAGTAAACACCAAATTTCATGTTATACGCAACTTAGGATTTAGGTTTAGGCATAAAAGCAGTTTTCAAAATGACATATGACCCCAGCTACCTTCCATATATATAGGCTCAGTGAGTGAGTGAGTGAGTGAGTGAGTGAGTGAGTGAGTTAGGCACCGCTTTTATGAATATTCCAGCAATATCACGGGACACCAAAAATATGCTTTACACATTTGTACCAATGTGGGGAATCAAACCCGGGTTTTCAGAATGACAAGCAAACACTAGGCTTAGTGACCACACCACCCCCATAGGCCAAGTGCTATATGTATGTTATATAATAACACGGCTAAATCCACATGACAAGGATATTTTAAAAACAATTATAATGTGAACATTGACAGCATTGCAGTGGATAGTTTCACTGGGAATATCACATGGGTAACAATGTGTGACCCTGGATGGATTGATGCTCATTCATTCAACGGGCTGTGTGGTAGCCTTGTGGTTAAAGTGTTAGCTCGTCATGCCAAAAACCCGGGTTCGATTCCCCACATGGGTACAATGTGTGGAGCCCATTTCTGGTGTCCCCTGGTGTGATATTGCTGAAATATTGCTAAAAGCGACGTAAAACAATATCACTCACTCTCTCATGCAGTCAGCCACTTGTTTGCCTGACCCAAACTCAACTATTTACAGTCTGTCTGAAAAATGCTGGAATATTACCCACAAACATTATTTCACATCCTCCCCAAACCCTTTCAGTCTTTAACAATGAACAGCCAAGCCAAGAAGGACTCCACAGTTGGTGAGATAGTCAACTTGATGTCTGTGGATGCTAACAACATCAACATCCTCATCACGTACCTGTTTTCCCTGTGGTCCAGCCCCCTCCAGATCATCCTGGCACTCTACTTCCTGTACCAGACAGTCGGCAACGCCATGTTTGCCGGGCTCGCCATCCTGCTTATCATGATGCCCTTTAACGCCTTCATCCTGGGAAAAGTGAACAGTCTGCAGCAGAGCATGATGGGAAGCAAGGACAGACGAATCCGGGTGATCAGCGAGGTGCTCAATGGGATCAAAGTGAGTGAAAGGAAACTGGTCAGATAGAATATGACTCTTCCCAACAATAAAATTATAGTTGGAAAAAAATGTATTATTTTCAGCTTCACCACATCATATCAGCCAAATGGCTGATACTCTATTTAGAGTATGACAACATTTGTGCCCAACCATGAGATAAGGGACCTCATGGGTAAAAAATCATATTTTGACTTATATTTTTAAACTACATTATTTTAGGAACACAAAAATACAATTCACAAGCTTCCAATTTTATTTATGACAGGAGTACATGACACCAAACATTTGGACTCCCATTTTCAGACTTATAACTTTTTATGTAATAAATTGTATTTTGGTAAAAAGTTTTTAGATATAATGTTGGAGTAATTGAAAGTAGAAATGTATGCTGAAATGTTTTGAAATAATGTTTTCTTAACATTTCGAACCAGAGTGGAAAATAAGATATTTTTGTACAGTCCTCAATACATGGCATATTTTACAGAAGTAAGTTGACATCGTCTTTCTTTATGACATCACAGCACAATTGTATCCTGTCACACATAAGGCCCCTTTTCTCCTGGTGCGTCACATTTATGATATTTTCAATAGTACTCATTTCTGTGACATTCGGAATTACACAGTGTGCAAACTAGTTGTGAATACCAGTTTTACATTTATGCCCCAATAAACCCCAAAATTATTAGAAAATTTCTAAATGTTACGTATTTTCACACTGATTTATACCCTGATCTGAAATAATGCCCAACCAGATCATTTGCATGTGTCACCTGTTTTCAAGGCCCTAAATAAGACAAATGTTTATTTCTGTTTTTATAAGACACCAAATTAACATTAGGACACTTGTTAAACACATTCTTTCACACTGAAAAAAAACCCCATAATGACTACCTGCATTCATTTTATGAAACACCTAGGCTCAAATTTACTTGATATTTTTCATCTTTGCAATTAAGCTAATTGTAAAATATATTTCTAAATTTGTTCCCCTTCATTTTAATGTTATTTCAGGTTCTGAAACTGTACGCATGGGAGGAATCTTTCAAAGGAAAGATTGAGAAAATACGTAACATGGAGATTCACTTCTTGTGGAAAATCGCTCTTTACTTCTCTGCTGTCACCTTTTCCTGGACAGCATCTCCATACTTTGTGAGTACTCCTCCTTTCAGATTGTTCATTCACAACAGCAATCATTAGTAGTTTCTGCTTCAATTCTTTCAAGATGACAATGTGAGTGAGTTAGTGAGTGAGTATGGTTTTACGCCGCTTTTAGCAATATTCCAGCAATATCACGGCAGGGGACACCAGAAATGGGCTTCACACATTGTACCCATGTCGGGATTCGAACCCGCGTCTTCTGCGTGACGTGCTAACGCTTTAACCACAAGGCTACCCAACCGCCCAGATGACAATGTACATGTATTACCATTGATACTACTGATCATATTAGAGAAATACTGTGCTCTTATGTATGAAATTTTTGTGAAATCTGTCAAACTATTTCTCAGAAAGTACCAAATTCATGTCAATGGCTTTGTCTTCAAAAAGAGAAAGTAACACTCTTACAAGCAGAAAAACAAACATAATACCTGGATGAAATTTGGTAGCACACACTGAAAAAGAAATGAGGCTACCTACTCTCATCATCATTATCAATCGTCACTGCCTGATAAGTAAGTTAGCAAAAACATATTGCCTCTCTACCAGTAACCTGGCATTATTGTAGACCTGATACATCAATCCATCATTCTTTCTTGATAACGATTATTTTAGTCGACAGTATCATGGAGTCATACAAATGAAAGATTTGCAACTGTCAAAACTTCTTTACAAGTCATTAAGTATTTCATATAATTACTATGAATGATACTAATATTTACTATACATGAATCTAATAATGTTTATTTCACCAGATCACTTCCATGCCTAAAAGCATGCTGATAGTGCTACACTTTTATTAGAATTGTCCATGGATCAGTATGTATATAATAGGGGCTGTGCTGGAATGATTGTACGCATCTCATCCAGGTACCCAATTATGCTAGGTGAACAAATGTTTTGATGCATTTCTGCTGAACTAACCACAGTACAATATTTTTATCTTTCCTATTGTAGGTTGCCTTGGCGACGCTAGTCACATACGTGTTCATCACACCATCTCACTACCTGGATGCCAAAACCGCATTCGTGGCAATAACTTACTTCAACGTCTTCAGAGTGGCCATAAATCTGGTCCCCATGGTTGCTACAGACATTGTCCGAGTGAGTTTATAATGTGTGCAGGTTATATACAACTTTATAAGGAACCTGTCACTTGTAATAACAGACTCAGCTTATTACCTTATCCTTGGGCCCGTGAAGATCCGGGGTAGAATAGGTCTTCAGCAACCCCTGCTTGACGTAAGTGGCGACTAACCGGATCAGGTGGTCAGGCTCGCTGACTTGGTTGATGCATGTCATCGTTCCCAATGGTGTGGATCAATGCTTATGTTGTCAATCACTGGATTGTCTGGTCCAGACTCGATTATTTACAGACCGACGTCATGTAGCTGGAATAATGCTGAGTGCATCATTAAACAACAAACCAACCAACCAACCAACCTGATCCTTGGTTTGTCAGCACCAATCCTTTCCCCTTGTATTTCACCAAAGTGTTTTGGCTCTCCACCCACATTAACCTGAGATGCATTGATGTAAATGAAGCTGATCAAGGCTGTGTCAACTCTAAATTACTCACTTACTTTTATAAGGGTGTTGGGGGAATGGGTTGAATCAGTGCAGGGTCATGAAACATATGGCAGGTTGAGCTTCCTTGGGAAGGTTTTGAAAGGTTGTGCAGAATGTGCATCCTTGGGAAGGTCATGAAACATGTGGCAGGTTGTGTAACCTTGGGAAGGTCATGAAACATGTGGCAGGTTGTGTATCCTTAGGAAGGTCATGAAACATGTGGCAGGTTGTGTAACCTTGGGAAGGTCATGAAACATGTGGCAGGTTGTGTATCCTTGGGAAGGTCATGAAACATGTGGCAGGTTGTGTATCCTTGGGATGGTCATGAAACATGTGGCAGGTTGTGTATCCTTGAGATGGTCATGAAACATGTGGCTGGTTGTGTATCCTTGGGAAGGTCATGAAACATGTGGCAGGTTGTGTATCCTTGAGATGGTCATGAAACATGTGGCAGGTTGTGTATCCTTGGGAAGGTCATGAAACATGTGGCAGGTTGTGCATCCTTGGGAAGGTCATGAAACATGTGGCTGGTAGTGTATCCTTGGGAAGGGTCATGACAAAACTAGACATGCATTTGAGGATGGTCACAACTAAAAAGACAAAGGCCTACATGCCATCATTTATGAGTAGTCCTCAGCTGTTTACAAAATCTGTGAAATTCATTTATGATAAGTGGGCCCCGATGGCCCAGTTGTCTGATGTACCTCAATTCCTTGTTCCTCAGGCATGCCAGAACCTATGATTGTGGGTTAAAATCCGAATTTCACCTGATTATGTTCCAAGGTTTGTACACATCAGACCATGCTGGTGGGATTCACCAAAAAGGTATGGATGTCAAATTCCTCCCACATCAAGCTAACACACCATGATATAACTGAATACTGTTCAAAGGTCCATGGATCTGACAGCTGCGGTATGAGTGAATGAGTATGTTTTTACACTGCTTTTAGCAATATTCCAGCAATATCACGGTGTGGGACACCAGAAATGGGCTTCACACATTGTACCCATGTCTGAAATAGAACCCGGGACTTCGGCGTGACGAGCGAACCACTAGGCTACCCGACCGCCCTAGCTGTGGTATGATATTCACTATTTTCTAACTCATCATGTATATGAAAGAACAAATGCCATGACTCATTGGATGTTTCCAGGCAAAAGTATCCCTTGAGCGGATAAGCAAGTTCCTGAGTCACGATGACCTTGATGAATCTAGTATTTCACACAGTCAGCACTTTGGTGAGTTCAGTTGTATGGATGCCACCAGTGCATGAATAGCTAAAGTGAAAGTTCAAATCAGCCACAGGCATAGAGTTATGTTATCAGTTTTTCCTGTATACCTACAATCTTTCCTAATAGTGAGGTTATCTGTACACAATGTCTTACCAACTGTAAGGTTTGCAAGTGTATATGTTCATTCTCAGAGGTGAAAAAATACATAATTGTATGAGTATACTTATAAAATATATAATATTTTTTGTATCTAAACAAAGTATGTCTCAGACACATGATTACCCTAGATGTACTTTTGTTCTTTTGAACTGTCATTTTCACATTTAAGCATACAGTTATATCGGATGACAATAAAACCACAATGTAAATGTAAGGTTAGCTGAATTGTGCAATGAAGAAAATGAAAAGGCTAGAGTTTTGAAACTAGAGGGCACAATGTTATATGGCATGTATTGTGTCTCTCTGTCTGTTACAAACCTTTCTTCTTTTCCTTTGCCCTGAAGTACAAGGCCTACTTCACATGTAGAATCGCAGACATCTGATCAGATTTTAGCATCTGTTGTAAATGTGACCTTTGCCCTTTAGCAAGCTAACTCCACACGTATCAATGCTGAACTTTTGTACTTGATCCTAGCTAGGTGTCTCTGAAGACTGCTTACAGAATAAGGATGCAAATTAAAAGTAATTATTTTTCTTGTAAGTACATTTTTTCAATCTTTTACAGATCATGCTGTTACCATGGAGAATGCATCTTTTACCTGGGAACCTGAGCTTGACCCATGGCTGCAAAAGTAAAACATCATACATGTGTTTCTTGTTACATCCAGATGGATGTAGACTTGTAACTGTTATACATTTACGTCATGCAATCTATAGTGTAGATACACAGACATGTATTGTAGCTAAAGACAAAGAATGTTTGTAGTCTAATTTGAACTGAAAAACAAAAGACTTTATTGTATTTGTCTCATTTCCAAAGAATCAATGTCAACATCCCTGAAGGCAACTTGGTGGCAGTGGTTGGTCAGGTGGGGTCGGGGAAGTCGTCCCTGATGTCGGCCATGCTGGGGGAGATGGAGAAGGTGCAGGGATTTGTCAACATGAAGGTATGTTATGCCAGAAGGCTGGTTAGCTGGGTGAGGCCATCTTCCCGAGGCAAGAGAGTTAACTGGCTTTAAAAGTCCAGTTTCAACACTTGCTGAACTAGGCTGGAATTACTGGGCTCGATCGTAGCACCACCAGTGGCTGTTACAAGTTATGTCCCCTCTAAGCCTCTCCTATGGACCAATCAGATTCCACCTTTCGTATAACTTGCTTTTGCTTCACACAAAATGGTGGCGCCCAGTCAAAACAATCTGATCGATAATCTATATTGTGATAAAACGGGTCTCACATAGTGAAATGCATCAAATCATGTGAGCACCTTGATTAAAAACATGAAAAGATTTGGAAAATATCTGCTGACAACGAGTTGGCGGTGCAAATGCTTTGCAAATCCTACAATTGAACAAAATCTGCATGACAGTTTACAGACTGGATTTCGATATCGGTGTGAGATTTTGATTGGACTATGCATAGACTTGTTGGTCCAGCCTAATTGTAACTCTATAATACCAGCCTAGTTCAGTAAGGGTGGAAACTGGAATTTTATAGTCAGTAAACTCTCTTGCCTCGAGAAGATGGGTCAGGCAGATGTTGGTGTGGTAGGTGGGGTGGGAAGTTGTCCCTGTTGTCGGCCATGCTGGGGGAGATGGAGAAGGTGGAGGGATCTGTATAGTTGGGTCTGGCAGATGTTGGTGTGGTAGGTGGGGGAGATGGAGAAGGTGGAGGGATCTGTTTAGTTGGGTCTGGCAGATGTTGGTGTGGTAGGTGGGGTGGGAAGTTTTCCCTGTTGTCGGCCATGCTGGGGGAGATGGAGAAGGTGGAGGGATCTGTTTAGTTGGGTCTGGCAGATGTTGGTGTGGTAGGTGGGGTGGGAAGTTTTCCCTGTTGTCGGCCATGCTGGGGGAGATGGAGAAGGTGGAGGGATCTGTTTAGTTGGGTCAGGCAGATGTTGGTGTGGTAGGTGTTTTTGTTGGGAGTGGTGCAGGGGTAGAGCATACAGGACGGGTTTGTCATGTCTGGTGTCACTGATGCTGACGGAGATTTTTGATGAGGTTGGAGTGGCTGAGTGTTGGGCAGGTAGGGATTTCCAATTGGGCACCTATGGGACAGGACAGATGTATTGGGCATGTTTTGAGTGGGGCTGGTGCTGGTGCTGGAGAGGGTGGAGCAGATGGAGTGGGGCCGTGTTCCTGCTGTCAATACTGGAGGCGATAGAGAGGTATTCATCCATCAATGACGTTGGGTGTAACACTGCATTTACCGTATTCTACGTAATAAGCGTCCCGCTCTAATAAGCGCCCACGGCAATATTTGCAAATATATTAGCTAGTGAACAATCCCAATCAGCACCCCTTCCGATTGATCAATGTACACAGGACTTATATATACGTGTATAATACGCACTCCTCGTGTGTTATATGCACCCTTAATTATGAGCAGTTAAATTTTGGAAAAATATATCTGTCGTATGTAAACATTCCAGGCTGTCAGCATAAAGCACAAAATTTAAGATCTTCCAACTCTGTTTTTTTTTCACCAAAATAATATTCTAATGAAAGCCCCCTATTTCTAATTTTGAGAGCCACCTGGGCGCTTATTACGTCAAATACGGTAATAGTGTTTCACTCACATTACCATGGAACCACCCAAGCTTCTATGCCCATGCCATGTTGAAAGTTCATTAAGCTTTACTGGGAACCATTTTAGGAACATCATTTAAGAGGAAGGAAAAACCATGCTCGTCATACCCAACTCAGTATGATGTGTGGACTGTTTGAAAATATCTTCAAATATGATACATCTTAATTCACTTATTCATCTCCATTCATGCAGGTATAGTATGGAATTTAAGAAATGTTAAAATATGAAGATATCAATACTAAAGTCATTTATATTGAAGGAGCCAGAGCACATTTTGTTGACCAAAATTAAAGACTTGTTTTCACTAAAGAAAATGGTTTCAGGAGTGCAAAAATCCAGATGACCACAAAATGTAATTCACAAACTGTGATATATTGTGCCAAGTGAATATTTGATTTGAATTTACATGCTTGGCATTCGTACCCACATAACTGGTGTCTCTTCTAAGGAAAGGTGAAAATACTGTAGACCATGTATGAACCTGTTCTCATATGTTCTCATATTGTAATGAAAGCTGCAGAATTTCTGTAAATAAAAAAGCATTTATTCCACCATGCAGCATTATTAAATGTAAGTATATTTAGAAACTACATTTAATCTTAACAGTCAGACTGAATGAGTGAGTAAGGTTTTACACCAGGTGTTCTGCATGATGAGCAAACACTTTTACCACTAGGCTACCCCAATGCCCCTCACCCTTAATATCCCTGATTTACACTCATCAAATATTTAAAACAACACTAGAGGTAATAAGTTTGTCTGCAATTGTTGCCAGGGAAGTATTGCCTACGTTCCTCAACAAGCCTGGATCCAGAACGACACCCTCCAGAACAACATCCTCTTTGGGAAGGACATGGACAGAAAACTGTATGACAAAGTTGTCAGTGCATGTGCTTTAAACAAAGACCTGGAAATATTATCAGGAGGAGACCAAACAGAAATAGGAGAAAAGGTGAATATATTCCACTACAAAGGGTTTCATCAATTGTAGTTCCTGCCACAACAAAGTTGTGATTGGGTATAGGAACCAGCTCTGTTCCTGACACTTCTGGATTATTGTTTAATTCTTGTTCTTCACAAAACCTTTCATATATCCATAAAAGATGACATTCTATTTGTTCTATTTTGTCATCAGGGCATCAACTTGAGTGGGGGACAGAAGCAGAGAGTGTCTCTGGCCAGAGCCGTCTACAACGATGCTGACATCTACCTCCTGGATGACCCTCTCAGTGCCGTGGACAGCCATGTTGGCAAACACATCTTTCAGAACCTTGTAGGACGTGACGGATTGTTAAAATCAAAGGTACTACTGCACAAGAAGGACCTGTCTCCTTTCTCATGACATTTTGGTACATCATATATATTATACTGTTAGGCACACTAAACACAGCACTAAAGCAGCAACATCAAAATTTTGCACATTTCAATTATTAGATCAGCCTTCTTAGCTCCAAGGGGAGTGCACATTCAAACTGAACAACTGAAATGTTTACGGTAGGTTCTTGTCATACTTCAAATGCCCTGTACACAAGAACTTGGGTGTTATTCATCTTGCAGACCCGTATCCTGGTCACCCATGGAGTACACTGGCTGCCACAAGTGGACACAATCCTTGTTCTGAGCAATGGCCAGATCTCTGAGATTGGAACGTACGAGGAACTCATGACTCATAATGGTGCCTTTGCCCAGTTCCTGACCACCTATCTCACTCAGCATAATAATGAAGATAGTGATGTGGATGAGGAGGAGGAGGAGGATGGCAAGTGTTCAGATTTGTTACCAGAAATCAATTTGCCCTTGCCCAATGATGTACAAGATAGAAAGGTGAGAGTTAGTATTCTGCTCCAGACACTAGAGACGTAATCTACGGAGACAATCTTCAGGACAACTAGGTTTCCTTTGCACAGGAAACGTATGAAGTGTGTAGGGTGCAGAGTGCACCGTGGAAATTGCATGCCTGTGTGTTTGCATCCCAGATTCAACTTGTTATGACTCTTGGTTTGCAGTACTATACCCATGCCTGTTGGTTTACAAAAAGTGATAGATATCTATTATTAGTATAGCCTTGGAAAGTCATTCTCATCCACTAGCCTTAGACTACTGCTTTGTGCTGAGAACAAATGAAAACCCAATGATGTGAGTCTGGCAAAATGTTGGACAAGAAGTCTTTGTAACGATTGAAATTCATCGTTTTAACAATACTGTTTGTATGATTTGCAGCAGAATAAGACAAATGGAATCTAAATTTCAGCCCAGGCAATCAGGAAGGGCATGTTGGAGCGACTTGTATCTGTGCAGTCAGAGACGGAGACATCTGGAGACGAGATGATGAGGGGTCACATTATGAGCAGAATCAGAAGGTAGGTCACCAGGTCAGTGACATAGGTCACCAGGTCAGTGACATAGGTCACCTGGTCACAGGTCAGTGACATAGGTCACCAGGTCAGTGACATAGGTCACCGGGTCAGCGACATTGGTCACCGGGTAATTGATATAGGTCACCAGGTCAGTGACATAGGTCACCAGGTCAGTGACATAGGTAACCAGGTCAGTGATATAGGTCACAGGTCAGTGACATAGGTCACCAGGTCAGTGACATAGGTCAACAGGTCAGTGATATAGGTCACCAGGTCAGTGACATATTTCCTGCCCAGAACAGGTATGGTATCCCGGAAGCTCCACTGATATCCTTGAAAGGATTGATCTCCCTTTCCTCACTGTGAATTTGAGTTTAGCAGAATCTCTGTTTTAAACAGATCATCTACTTTTCGTAACAGAGATGAACAATTTCTCAAAAGAGCCTGCTTAGACTACAGTTCCCTGGTGTCTGAGCAAAGCTTAAATATCCACCCCCACCTGTGCAATGAGTTGTCATTGTTCCTGCACACATCTAACACTCATGAAATTGTTGATGCCAGACAGTCATCGATGCTCAGTGGAAGTGAGAGTCAGTCAATCGATCCTGCTCACCAGGTGGCGCCGAGACAAAGAAAGAAGCTTAAGGATAAAGTTAATGCTGTTCCAACCAAGACTCCCCAAATAGATCGTCTCATTCAGGAGGAGGAGGTGGAAGTTGGGAAGGTTGGTAATGTACATGCCATACAGATGCTGCAATAGAGATAGAAACCCCACAGTTGCTTCAACAGTTAGCTATAGTACCCCACAGTTGCTTCAACAGTTAGCTATTGTAACCCACAGTTGCTTCAACAGTTAGCTATTGTAACCCACAGTTGCTTCAACAGTTAGCTATTGTACCCCACAGTTGCTTCAACAGATTGCTATAGTACCCCACAGTTGCTTCAACAGTTAGCTATAGTACCCCACAGTTGCTTCAACAGTTAGCTATAGTACCCCACAGTTGCGCCAACAATTAGCAATAGTTCCCCACAGTTGCTTCAACAGTTTGCTATAAAAACCCACAGTTGCTTCAACAGTTAGCTATAGTACCCCACAGTTGCTTCAACAGTTAGATTTAGTAACCCACAGTTGTGTCAACAGTTATAGCAATAGTACCCCACAGTTGCTTTAATAGTAAGCTGTTGTACCCCACAGTTGCTTTAATAGTTAGCTATAGTACCCCACAGTTGCTTCAACAGTTAGCTATAGTACCCCACAGTTGCTTCAACAGTTAGCTATAGTACCCCACAGTTGCTTTAATAGTTATAGCAATAGGTCCCTACAGTTGCTTCAACAGTTTGCTGTAAAAACCCACAGTTGTTTCAACTGAGCCAGCATCCCACAGTTGCTTCAACAGATAGGTTATAGTACCCCACACGAGACACAGTTAACAATTCAAGATTGCAGGACACTGCAAACACTAAAACAATACAGCAGAAATCCCAAAGGACCCCATTAAGTTTGAACACTGCTCCTGGATGGAGTTAAGATGTGTGTGATATTTAAATACTATTACAATAGATACAATACAGCACAAATAAATAAATGTGTATATCTAATTGACTGAGAGTGAAAGCCACAGAGACCACATAATGTAAAAGCTTTTCAGTAACATTGACAGCCTCAACCTAGAAACTTTAGCCTACCCTTTTCTTCCAAAGATTTAGTGATATGATGCACTGTTGATCAGTGTCCTCAAAATCTCTCAGCTACTCTGCCTTCTTCTGGCAGACGACCATCTTTAGCTTGATCTAGCAGCTCCTCTGGTGGAGGAGAAATGGGATATAGCTAAGGGGAATAACTCTGGTCAACACTGTAGCACATCTTTATGTTTAAGTATGATTGACATGGAATTAAGTTCAAATCTCTCTTTGACCTTATCTTTTTAATCAGTTTAAATTTTATAATCAGTTTTAATTATTTTGTAACTTCTATTTATAATACCAGAATATTATTTTTTCTCTTTTACAGTAAATTGAGATTCAAGAATAATCACAAAAACTTCAAAAATTATATTTTTGTAAAGAACGCTTTGCTGGGGAGTAGGAATGCATTAATGTCAATATGATGCAATTACAATGGAGTGTGCACCTATGCCATAGTGCTGACAATGTAAATGTTTGTGTATAGCAAGTATAGCCTTGCTAGGATAATGATGCCTTCTTGTGTATGATCTCAGGTGAAATGGAAGGTGTACCTGAACTACCTGAAAGCACTAGGTATTGGGAACCTGGTTTTGGGCGTGTCCATGTATGTGTTGTACGAGGTCTTCCAGGTGTGTGGCCAAATCTTGCTTAGTCAGTGGACCGACGACGTCAACCTTGGCAACACCAGCCTTCTGTCCAACAGCACAGAGAGGAGGCAGTACAACGACTACTACATGGGAATATATGGCCTATTCGGAGTATTACAGGGTTGGTATCAACTGATAGTTTGATGAATACAAGACATATTTAATCAGAGAGGAGGCAGTACAACGACTACTACATGGGAATCTATGGCCTCTTCGGAGTATTACAGGGTTGGTATCAACTGATAGTTTGATGAATACAAGACATATTTAATCAGAGAGGAGGCAGTACAACGACTACTACATGGGAATATATTGCCTCTTTGGAGTATTACAGGGTTGGTATCAACTGATAGTTTGATGAATACAAGAAATACTTAATCAGAGAGGAGGCAGTAGAACGACTATGACATCGGAACATATTGCCTCTTTGGAGTATTACAAGGTTGGTATCAACTGATATTTTGATGAATACAAGAAATACTTAATCAGAGAGGAGGCAGGACAACGACTATGACATGGGCGTATATCGCATCTTTGGAGTAGGAAAAATGAAAAATATAGTCTTTCGGCTTCTGTGGAGGAGAGGACTTAAGGAACAAGATTAGATTTGTATTTGTTTTTATAACCAATGTGCGTTTGGATACGTAGTGTAATATTTCAATATTTATAAAACAAATTAATTGAACAGTTTGCTTGATTTTTTTTGCTAACTTGTTTAAACACACCCACCCTCGACATTGATGGAGAGCAAAGGTTATTGAGGGGTCTAATGCTTTGCATTACCTCAATGATATACTTTAGCTTGTTGCAATCAATTTAGATGAGTCTGTTTCACGGCTTTGTTGGGCAGTCATCGTTGCCCTGAGTAGGGGGATAAACATTTAAAGTGTGTGATAACAAATGCTGATTCGCATCATCATCTTTACGGCCTAAAACCAGATCAACTTTGTCATGCACACACTTCTGACAAAACGGTGTTATTTCAAATAACATTTTTTTTAATATTAAGGATTTAACATGTTTCTCTTTTATGGAAATGATAAATGTGAACTTATTTATTTAAGGACTTTATGTAAACTGTTCCTGTATATCAAAAATGATATTTATTTGTCAGACAATGTACATTGTATATACAGGTAATTACATCAGTATTTTCATGCATTTGAGTGAGGGCAAAAATGTTACCATTCTCACGAAACTTTTTACTTATATTTTCCTATGCACAAGATGCCCAGAATATGGTACTGTTTAGAAAGGGGAAAAATTGTTATAATCTGAATTTGATGTGAACACCAGAAATTTTGCACCAATTATATAGAGAGAATTTCAAGATTGAGGGACAGTAATAATTAATGTATGACAAACACTTTTATGAGATGAGTACCGTATTCAACGTAATAAGCGCCTCGCTCTAATAAGCACCCACAGCGATATTTGCTAATATAGTGGCTTGTGAACAATCGCAATTATCATCCCTTCCGATTGATCAATGTACACAAGACTTATTTATTCATGTATACTACGCACCCACAATAATGGGCAATTAAGTTCTGGAATATATATCTATAATGTATCTTCTCTTATGTCATTTCAGGCTGTCAGCATAAACCATGAAATTTACAATTGTTTCAAGTCTGTTGTTTTTTTCTCACCAAAATTATATTCCAATAAGAGCCCCCTTTTCCTAATTTTGAGAGCGCCCTGGGCGCTTATTATGTCGAATAGGGTAATGTATCTTCAAGTTATTGGGAGATGAATGACTATGAAAAAGATTTGGTTTCTGTTGCTGAAATAATATGTCACATGCTGCCAACAACTCAAATAGTAATCAAAAGAATTGTGTTGGGGGAAGTATAACAGATCACAAACCTCTGTCTATTCACAGCTCTATTTGTCCTTGGCTTCGCTTTCCTTATCCACATCCGATCCGTGCATGCATCCCGCATCCTCCATCACAAGATGCTCACCAATGTCCTCCGAGTTCCCATGTCCTTCTTTGACACCACCCCGATTGGCCGCATCGTGAACAGGTTCTCTCAGGACTGCGACGTCTTGGACAACCAGCTGCCCATCACCATGGAGATCTGGACAGACTTAGCGGCCCGCTTTGCTGCAACGGTGATCATCATCAGCTACACCACGCCCATCTTCATGGCTCCGCTTGCTCCTCTCTTCATCCTGTTCATGTTTGTCCAGGTGGGTTGTCTCCCCTTGTGGGATATCTGGGGCAGAATAGGGCCACATAATCTTGCTTGTGAAACCCTGAGAAGAATAAGTCGCCAGTAATCATGCTTCCCTTAACAACATGGTAGATTTAAAACAGAAAAAGTTGATTGTAACTTCTCTTGTGTTATAGGGCCACAGTTTTTTGTGCTTGTTTCCAACTGACCACCTCTGTAGCCTGGATAGCGAAAGGTCTGGGATTCGATCCCCCGCCTCGTCATACCAAAAGACGTTAAAGATGGTACTTTTATGCTCTCATCAATAAGGGGCTAAAACAAGGAATAGTCCTGCCGGAGTCAGTATAATGTGTCTGAGTAGGGTATTAATATTATACTGTGGCATGGTATCTCAGTGGGCGAGCACTATAAAATCGGCATCAGTCCGGACTAGTACAAACAGCCACATATACACACACATGAATACACGTTGCTGTATAAGTGCAAGAATCTTGGGACACAACTTTAAACTCTTTTCACCTCACCTTGTTTCAGACTTCCATGATACTTGTACATTTCAGATCATTTAGATAGATATTACTCCAAATTTAAGTATACCAAAACAGATTGTTTTAATGATGTACTGAAACGTTCTTCCAGAGATTTTACGTCACCACATCCAGACAGTTAAAGCGGTTGGAGTCCAAGACACGATCCCCCATCTACAGTCAGTTCAGCGAGACACTGTCAGGAGCGAGCGTCATCCGGGCATACAAGGCCCAGGACCGGTTTATCCTGGAATCTGAGTCCAAGGTTGACACCAACAACAGATACCTCTACAGCAGCATCGCAGCGAGCAGGTACGTCAGACTCAGGCGTGCTCATCAGAACTGGGATGAAACAATGAAACCGCATCAATTTTAACTCAAAGGACAAGGAAACAATTTTAACCATAAATATTTACTCGCATGACAAAGCAGGATGATTTTTGTGTTTGATTAACTCATGCCTAAATGCACAGAACAACTTAATTGGATTTTTGTGTCCATTTTATGAAATATTACAAACTACGAATATATGTGTTTTCAAAGTTTTTCAGTATAGAATGAACAGTTTGAACTAGGACAAGTTCTATTGTATCCCTTTGTGGTCTTGTACTAACTCTTTATATTACTTCAATCGTGTACATAGAATTATGTAATTACGACTGACTCCAATTATTAGTAATCTTTTCTCTTTGTGCCTGGATAATGTTGATTGTGGCCAATGTTTTCACCGACTGATTTGCCCAGTCCACAGTCAACAATTTTCATTTTTCATGCCACTGTTTTGCTGTCTCGAATGGAATTGATGTGAGTGCACAGGTGCATATCCTGGAAAACATCAAAGCATCAAATTACCAGAAGCAAGGTGTTTTTGTCACACGGTAACCAGGGAAAAAAGTTGTGAAAAGTTTAAATAAATGAATAACTATATTCTCTTTTCAGTATTATTAATTCAGCAATATAAAAATCAATAATATTTCTGCAACATCATGTAAGGAGACACTTGAAACACATGTTTGGTTGGTTGGTTGGTTGGTTGGTTGGTTGGTTGGTTGGTTGGCTGGCTAGCTGGTTGGTTGGTTGGTTGGTTGGTATATTCCAACTAATGAGGGTGCTACATACATAATCGAGTCTGATCTAGACAATTCAGTGATTGGTTGCTGAAGAACAATTCTGTATGGTAGACTACATTTTGAGCCATATTGTGCTTGACAATTATCAACATCCTCAAATCTCCTGTCCAGGTGGGTCAGTGTCCGTATGGAATTCTTGGGGGCAATCATCGTCCTGTTGGCGTCAGTTCTATCAGTGGTCACTCGGGACACAGTGACCGGAGGAGTTGTTGGACTCTCACTGTCATACGCCACAGAGGTCAGTTACAGTAACATACAGTCACAACTCAACTGGACATCTGCTTAATCCATGTACCCTAATCAGTACCTAATGGCTACACGTACATCTTTACCTACTTCAATGACTGGCTTGCCTTTCATATTCAGACATACCATGCTAGATCTTTGCAATGGTGAACTGTATCTGTCCAGACATCTGCAGGAAGTCATGCCAGGCTATCGTGTTCATTTTGACCGTTGTTCCCCCTTCATTACTATATCACTTAATGTTGTGTATGGTGTATGTCTTTGTTTATCTGGGTTGGTCGGGTAGCCTAGTGGTTAAAGCGTTCGCTCGTCACGCTGAAGACCCGGGTTTGATTCCCGATATGGGTACAATGTGTGAAGCCCATTTCTGGCGAAGCCATGACATTGCTGGAATATTGCTAAAAGCGGCGTAAAACAATACTCACTCAATCACTCTTTGTTTATCTGATTTTGTTTTTAGCCCTGCTATGACCCTTAATAATATTTAGGGCATATTGTATTGGATCTTGTCATAGCGAAAATTTTCTTATTGCTGAGACTTTTAGTGAAACTTTCACTGTATTGTGTAGCTTTGTCAAGACCAAATAGATCTAGTGGTGTTAAGAACATCAGGGGCGATAAGAACTTTATTTAATTATTTTGTAAAAACTCAATGATGTGTATATAAGTTGAGACCCCTTATTAATTGCTTCTTGTTTGTGGTAAACCACATCATCTGTGTTTTCAACTTTCTGTCTTTTAGATTCTAGGCGTCATGACGTTCCTGACACGGCTGACGTCGGAGGTGGAGACGATGATCGTGTCAGTGGAGAGGATACAGGAGTACACCCAGCTCAAGGAGGAGGTAAAATACTTCACATCCGATTTGAACATTAGAACGTGTGTTCAAGCTAACACGTAGCCATATTGTCATTACCGCTGTCATGTGACATCATGTCTATCAGGGCCACTTCCGAAATCACATTGGTAGAGCGTCTGCTCCGAGAGTGGAAGGTTGATGTGGAAGTCATTAAAAGATAGTACTAGTTACCCTACCTGGTGAGGTGAAGGTGAGGTGAAATTGGGTTTAACGTCGCGTCCAAGATTATTGCACTTATATATAGCGACGTGCATGTACGTGTATGTGTTTGTGTGGCTGCTTGTACTAGTCCAGACTGATGCCAATTTATAGTGCTAGCTCACTGAGATACCATGCCGCAGTTTAACATGAATACCCCACTCAGACACAGTATACTGACTCCGAGCCGACCAGTCCTTGTTTTAACCCCTTAATGCCGAGCGCCAGACAGGGTTACAACAAGTACCATCTTTTAACGTCTTTTGGTATGACGCAGCCGGGGATTGAACCCCAGACCTTCCGCTCTCCGGGCGAACGCTCTACCACTAGACCACGGAGGCGGTCTACCCTACCTGGTACTCAGCATTAAGGAGCTAAAAAAGGACTGGTCAGCTCAGAGTTAGTATTCTGTGTTGAGTATTCATGTTATACTGCAGCATGGTATCTCAATGGGGTAGCACTATAAAACCAGCACAAGTCTGGACTAGTACAAGAAGCCACACACACACATGCATCCACATCGCGAAAGAAAACGCCAATCTTGAATTCGACAATTCCACCTCAGCTCATGTCCACAGTCATGTCCTGTAGATTTCGATTATCCATACAGTTAGAAATTATCAAATAAAAAAATCCATACAGAGTACACACATAATAATGACTATACACACACCGTGTGACAAATGTGTAAAATCATGTGGATTCACACATATGTAATATTGGTTTGGTTTGGTTGGTTTGTTTAATGCCCCACTCAGCAATATTTTAGCTATGTATACTTGAGTCTAGACCAGTCAATCCATCGATTGACATCATGCGCATTAATCTAAACTTTGTGATATGATGACATCGATCAGCCAAGTCAATGAGTCTTACCCCTGATTCCATAGGATGTAATAGCTACAAAGAATGTCTTCCATAATATTTTTTGGCTTCCCAAGTTTACTACCTTAGCCCTCGGTCACCCTTTAATATCTTTCAAGTCAAGTTTATTCTTTGGCTTTGGGAAAGATGTGGCTAATTCATCAAAGCTGCAGCAATTAATGGTGCAGAGTTGCATCCCTTAGGCTTGCCAGAAAAGTATGGCCGTAGGTTCTAATCACCTGATATGGTTTCTTGGTTTTTCGGCACCATATTCGTAATTTACTCTGTCATAAGTATAACCTGCAACCATTGTGCTGAGTCCATAGTTATAGCTACCAGAGACAGGAATGTGCCATTGCTATGAGAATCAGTTGTTCCGGTATGGAGTCTTGCATGTAGGATGGTATGTTTTCCTAAGGCTCCAGCACATATTGAAGACACAAGGCCTCCACACAACTGGCCTCATGTAGGAGGGGTGACCTTCGACAGCTACAGCACACGTTACCGACCTGGGATGGACCTCATCCTCAAGGACATCAGTTTCACTGTCAACCCTGGAGAAAAGGTCAGCAACAGCTACACTTGCAGTCTTCAAACTGACTTTCGGGGACGATCGGGTAGCCTAGTGGTTAAAGCGTTCGCTCGTCACACTGAAGATCCGGGTTCGATTCCCGACATGGGTACAATGTGTGAAGCTCATTTCTGGTGTCCCCCGCCGTGATGTTGCTGGAATATTGCTAAAAGCGGCGTAAAACCATACTCACTCACTCACTCACTCAAACTGACTTTCAGGACTAAATTAAATTCTTACAAAATGAGATTTATGAGCACTAATAAGACCAAGAAACAGGACATTTCATGTTGACATTATTGGAGATGTTGTTATCTGAATGTTCCATATATATACGTAACATTATTTTACACATTTTTGTTGAAAATTTTGATATGCAATTTATTTCTGTAGATGTAACCCTGTGGGGATTCAGGGACAAAGTTGACCCATGAAAATCCGGGGTAGAATAGGTCTTCAGCAACCCATGTTTGCCCTAAAAGGCGACTATGCTTGTCGCAAAAGGCGACTTATGGGATCGGGTGGTCAGGCTGGCTGACTTGGTTGATGCATGTCATCCTATCACAATTGCATTGATCGATGGTCATGATGTCAATCACTGGATTGTCTGGTCCAGGCTAAATTATTCACAGACCGCCGTCTTATAGCTGGACTATTGCTGAGTGTGGCGTTAAACAATAAACAAACAAACAAAACAAACACACAAACAAAGAGGCAAAATCTTGGTCAAAATACCAATGTTCGTCTTATTTGGTCACCATTCAGAATATTCACAGAAAAAGTTTTAATAATATCTTGTGTATTCCAGGTGGGCATTGTGGGCAGGACAGGTGCGGGGAAGTCATCTCTGACCTTGTCACTGTTTCGGCTGATTGAGGCAGCGGGAGGGCAGATAATGATTGACGGAGTGAGCATCAACTCTCTTGGACTTCATGATCTCAGAGGCAAACTCACAATTCTTCCCCAGGTAAGAAATTATAAATATTTTTTAGACTGTGGCTATTTCAACTGAAACAAACTTGAGGGTTTGGTCCTTTTTTTTTGTCCTTTGCCATTTGCTTGAATCCATGATAACAAGATTTCACCTAAGGCTGCTGCAGGAAAAATATTATCAGTGCTTGTGACAAAATTAATTTTTTCTTTTCCTTGTCCTGTAATTTCTTTCTGACACTGGTCTAATTTCAGGACCCTGTGATATTTACTGGGAGTTTGCGCTCCAACCTTGACCCCTTCAGTGAGTACAGTGACGCGCAGCTGTGGATGGTTCTAGAGCAGGCTCACTTGAAGCAGTTCGTACTGACACTGCCAGACACCATTCACCACGAGTGTGGGGAGGATGGAGAAAACTTCAGGTAAGATTATATTTATTTCTTTGACCATTATACTGGGTCTTCATGCCAAACTCTGTGCCTTGTTGATGCACCATGCTCATTGATGCAGTGCCCAGACACACCATGTGTGGCCCACTGAGATACCATGCTGCAGTTTAACATGGGTACCCCACTCAGACACAGTATACTGACTCTGAGCAGATCAGACCTTGGTTTATATCTTTACTGCCAAGAACCAGGCAGGGTAAATATAACTATCTTTTGAGGTCAGATGCTCTCTCCGCTACAGCACAGAGGCAGCACATGCTCAGTGATATGTAACACACTCCACAGTATATTGTACAGATCAAGAGTCACCAATCTCACCATGCAGAATGCAAAATAATACAAGCAGTTGAATAAATAATCAAAAACAGATAGATATATCTGTGACTGATATATGTACCAAGAATGTATGTGTGTAAATGGTTTAGATACCTTCAGGAATTCTTTTTTCAGAAGTTGTTTGAACAAAGTTTCAACATTCAAGGCCTCAGTAAACTTTTAAAAAGCATTATGGTAGACATTTAGAGGACATTTAAAAAAATGACCCATCAGGGACAAAAATGATGTCGGATGCAATTGTCTATTTTGATTTGTACGATATGTTCCCGTGTTTTTTCAGATGAACAATTGATTTGCACCATCTTGCCCTATATTCACTGTTATGACCATCATGTTTCCAGTGTTGGACAGAGACAGCTGGTGTGTCTGGCCCAGAAGCAAAGCACCATCTTGCCCTATATTCACTGTTATGACCATCATGTTTCCAGTGTTGGTCAGAGACAGCTGGTGTGTCTGGCCCAGAAGTAAAGCACCATCTTGCCCTATATTCACTGTTATGACCATCATGTTTCCAGTGTTGGACAGAGACAGCTGGTATGTCTGGCCCGGACTCTGCTTAGGAACACAAAGATCCTGGTTCTTGACGAAGCTACAGCAGCTGTTGACATGGAAACGGATGACCTGATCCAGCAGACCATCAGGTCAGAGTTCAAGGACTGCACGGTGCTGACCATCGCCCACAGACTCAACACAGTCATGGACTATGACAGGTGATTTATTTGGATTTAGTTAAACTAAATTTATTGTGTTTGTCTTGCCATAATGCAAAATCTGTGTATGGCCATCTTAAAATCTCTGGAAATTTTCTCGCTGAATGCATTTTTTGGTTGACTTTATGATCAGTACATACTATATTACATTTATTGATACATTTGTTTTGGTACTCTTGTCATTAAATGAATGCACCATAAAATACCCTGTGTATGTTTACAGGATTCTGGTGCTAGAACAAGGTTGTGTAGTAGAATACGACAGTCCAGGGAATCTCCTGCTGCAACCAAACAGCATCTTCTGCAAAATGGCCAAGGATGCAGGACTTGCACAGTGACGGACATCAGATATGAACTACTACCACCAAGGATGCGGGACAAACACAGTGATGAACATCAGATATAGACCACCACAAAGGATGCAGGACAAACACAGTGATGAACATCAGATATAGACCACCACAAAGGATGCAGGACAAACACAGTGATGAACATCAGATATAGACCACCACAAAGGATGCAGGACAAACACAGGGATATACATCAGATATAGACCACCACAAAGGATGCAGGACAAACACAGTGATATACATCAGATATAGACCACCACAAAGGATGCAGGACAAACACAGGGATATACATCAGATATAGACCACCACAAAGGATGCAGGACAAACACAGTGATATACGTCAGATATAGACCACCACATTGAATGCAGGACAAACACAGGGATATACATCAGATATAGACCACCACAAAGGATGCAGAACAAACACAGGGATATACATCAGATATAGATCTAACCTTTCTGGTTTTCTGGTCTGAATAAGTATCCATATGAATTAAAACTATTGTTGTCACTGATGGTGACAAATGTTATGACACTTGTTTAAAAACTTTCTGTAAATGAACTCTAGTTATTTAAAACTTTCATTTTATATGTGAGTCAGCAAGAAATCCATTTGTATTGACAAAATACCAAGGACTTCCAAGGGTAAAATATCTTCAAGGATACTGAATGTTATGTGATGTTTCAAGGTGATGCATAGTAGTGTCCTGAAGTGCCTATATCAATGCTAACTGAAACAAACATTTTGGACATGCATTATTACCAAGAGGTCGTGCTGTAACTGTCAGCCGGTGGTGAGGAATAGTTCCCTTCATGACACTGCATAGAAGGAAGTCAGCAGATGTTATCAAGCATGTCATAGATCGCTCTGTACACTGCCTATTGGATGTGATGAATTGTTCTGTGAAAAACCACAACCAGGAACACATGATGAGAATGATGAGAAGCAAGATGTAATATTGCATTGTCAGTCTTGTCAGATTTTTCTGTTGGTGCTATATGTGGACCTTTTATTGTCCACTCAGTCTCATTAAAATCAGATTTTGTATTCTAATTATATCTGTATATTCAGCGTGTTTGCGATAAAAAATATACCAGACCATTTTTTTCTTGTTTTATGGACATAAGGATTAGAAGTAAAGGCCTTGGATGACCTAGGCGAATTTACAACGACAGTACCCCAGATTATTATTTCTTTTTTTAAACTTACTGTAGGTTATAGTAATATATGTAATTTCTGTCTTTCTTAAACACTCTTGATATCAAGAGTGATAGCAAGAAAATTCTGCCCCGATTAAAATGGCAGCAGGCTGTAGACATCCAGGTGAGATCTCAGTCAAACAACTGGTATATGTGAACACACATTGCCATTTAGAAAGTGGTCAAATTTAACAAATGGTATATTTGGGATAACACTTTCTCAGTGAATTTACATTCGTCAGAGGGGTACACAAAGTATGTGATCTAGACACAGTTTACTCTACATTACCTACATATAAACATCTGGCTACTTACATCAATACATAGTATATGGGAATTTCAGGATGACAGTCTCTAAATCATTCCGACATCGAGGGCCTTTCGTTTATAGTCGCTTTGACCGGTTTGTCATTGAAACCACAAAAAGTAAATTACCTTGGCAATGGGAAATTATTTTCTTTCGAAAAGCTAGTTGACATGCAATGCAATGTACCGTATACATTCCCATAAATGCCTTATTGATATCTTATGGAATTTAAGGCAGCTCATGAAAACATATAGTCTAATGTGGTCTTTCCCAAGCTTTTTGAGGGTTTTGTTTATGAGTGAGTGAGTGAGTTTGATTTTACGCCGCTTTTAGCAATATTCTAGCAATATCACGGCGAGGGACACCAGAAATGGGCTTCACACATTGTACCCATGTCGGGAATCGAACCCGAGTCTTCGGCGTGACGAGCGAACGCTTTAACCACTAGGCTACCCGACCGCCCCGTTTTGTTTATGAGCACGGAGAGCACATTTATAACTTTTCGGGCATCAGCGTATATTTGCCATATATGCCAATTATAAGCTCGGAACACTCCTGTACTTTATGCAGCTGTGGAGCTATATTTACAACTAAATCACCTCTGGTTTGCCTCAGTGGTCTACGGGATAAGTGTTATATTCCTGATAATTTTGTCACCTCAAAGGGAAATTTATAATTAGCACAATATTTTCCGAGATATATATATACGCCGTTGTTAGATGCAATGTTGATCCGTTGATGAGACGACACATGCCGCATTACAAATACGTCTTGACACAAACGCCCTCACCAACCATTAAGAAATCTCCGATCACGATGACATCACTGGAGACCGATAGAAAGGTATTTCTGGCATAAACATAGCAGCAGCATTAACCACCATATGGGTTCATATACGTCATGTGAGTACTATGATCTTTCTTCCCTTTTCTTGAGACACTGTTTCAAACTATTCAAATTCAAAGTGACAGCTTGTCTGGGGGCCGATTTGGCTTGTCTGGGCATGGTCCCGTTTGCTACGTCACAATGACCACAATGACCCGACTGTCACCTTAAAACAGAGAGAAGGTTGTTGAGTCCCTTGGAGTCTTTATTCGTGGCAGAGTGAAAGATCTACCACTGAACTTGTTGAATATATTGGGACTCAGGCCTTCTGTAGAATGTGTTAGGTACCTAATATTGCAGCTGTATTTTAAATCTGTCAAATGTCTGGTGTATTAATTGCAATTATTTGTGCGTTACAGAGTGCACTGGCAACTAAATAGTCTTTGTAATCCTATTTGGCTGACAATAATCATGATGGTGCACCCGGCCATGAACAGCATGTAAGTTTGGGGCATAACCCAAGCAGCTTGACAGCATAATCCAGAGTCACTGATTTGTGACGGTCAGCTAGAGACTAACATTGTGTTAAGACATGTATTCAGCTTTCGCTAGTTAGAATATTGAGAGAATATATAACGTATTATTGAAATATGACCATTATGATTATGGATTAATAATATAGTATTCAGAACTATGACAAATGTATAAAACCTGATGTGGATTTTATGTGTGCGTTTTATGTTTATGGTTTTCAGACAACATCAAGTGTCAGTGAGGGGAGACGTTCAAGGAAGACCAGCAACGACACTGTCAACCTCCAGTGTTTTTACGGGTCCAGGACACACATGGTTGAACAAGTTCATCAGGAGTTCATCAATCCTGAACAACGAGGGGGACACCAACAGCAATCAACCCATCTTCCCGAGCTTCTCAAATAGCTTGGATTAAGTCCGAGTGGGAGGAGTCTGTTCCACCTGACCAAGGCGATTAGGTCTGAGTGGGAGGAGTCTGTTCCACCTGACCCAGGCGATTAGGTCTGAGTGGGAGGAGTCTGTTCCACCTGACCCAGGTGATTAGGTCTGAGTGGGAGGAGTCTGTTCCACCTGACCCAGGCGATTAGGTCTGAGTGGGAGGAGTCTGTTCCACCTGACCCAGGTGATTAGGTCTGAGTGGGAGGAGTCTGTTCCACCTGACCCAGGCGATTAGGTCCGAGTGGGAGGAGTCTGTTCCACCTGACCCAGGCGATTAGGTCTGAGTGGGAGGAGTCTGTTCCACCTGACCCAGGTGATTAGGTCTGAGTGGGAGGAGTCTGTTCCACCTGACCCAGGCGATTAGGTCTGAGTGGGAGGAGTCTGTTCCACCTAACCCAGGCAATTAGGTCCGAGTGGGAGGAGTCTGTTCCACCTGACCCAGGCGATTAGGTCTGAGTGGGAGGAGTCTGTTCCACCTGACCCAGGTGATTAGGTCTGAGTGGGAGGAGTCTGTTCCACCTGACCCAGGCGATTAGGTCTGAGTGGGAGGAGTCTGTTCCACCTGACCCAGGTGATTAGGTCTGAGTGGGAGGAGTCTGTTCCACCTGACCCAGGCGATTAGGTCTGAGTGGGAGGAGTCTGTTCCACCTGACCCAGGCGATTAGGTCTGAGTGGGAGGAGTCTGTTCCACCTAACCCAGGCGATTAGGTCTGAGTGGGAAGAGTCTGTTCCACCTGACCCAGGCGATTAGGTCCGAGTGGGAAGAGTCTGTTCCACCTAACCCGGGCGATTAGGTCCGAGTGGGAAGAGTCTGTTCCACCTAACCCAGGCGATTAGGTCCGAGTGGGAGGGGTCTGTTCCACCTGACTCAGGCGATTACGTCCGAGTGGGAGGGGTCTGTTCCACCTGACCCAGGCGATTAGGTCCGAGTGGGAGGGGTCTGTTCCACCTGACCCAGGCGATTAGGTCTGAGTGGGAGGAGTCTGTTCCACCTGACCCAGGCGATTATATAATTAGGTCTGAGTGGGAGGAGTCTGTTCCACCTGACCCAGGCGAGTAGGCCCGAGTAGGAGGGGTCTGTTCCACCTGACCCAGGCGATTAGGTCCGATTGGGAAGAGTGTTCCACCTGATACAGGTGATTAGGTCCGAGTGGGAGAAGTCTGTTCCACCTAACCCAGGCGATTAGGTCTGAGAGGGAGGAGTCTGTTCCACCTGACTCAGGCGATTAGGTCCGAGTGGGAGGGGTCTGTTCCACCTGACCCAGGCGATTAGGTCCGAGTGGGAGAAGTCTGTTCCACCTAACCCAGGCGATTAGGTTCGAGTGGAAAGAGTGTTCCACCTGATACAGGTGATTAGGTCCGAGTGGGAGGAGTCTGTTCCACCTAACCCAGGCGATTAGGTCCGAGTGGGAAGAGTGTTCCACCCGACCCAGGCGATGAGGTCCGAGTGGGAAGAGTGTTCCACCTGATACAGGTGATTAGGTCCGAGTGGGAGGAGTCTGTTTTCCACCTGACCCAGGCGATTAGATCCGAGTGGGAGGAGTCTGTTCCGCCTAACCCAGGTGATAAGGTCTGAGTGGGAGGAGTCTGTTCCACCTAACCTAGGCGATTAGATCGGAGTGGGAGGAGTCTGTTCCACCTGACCCAGGCGATTAGGTCCGAGTGGTAGGAGTCTGTACCAACTGACCTAGGCGACTATATCCGAGTGGGAGGAGTCTGTTCCGCCTGACCCAGGCGATTAGGTCCGAGTAGGAAGAGTGCTCCACCTGATAGAGGTGATTAGATCCGAGTGGGAGGAGTGTTCCACCTGATACAGGTGATTAGATCCGAGTGGGAGTAGATCCGAGTGTGAGGAGTTTGTTCCCCCTGACCCAGGCGATTAGGTCTGAGTGGGAGGAGTCTGTTCCACCTGACCCAGGCGATTAGGTCCGAGTGGGAGGAGTGTTCCACCTGATATTGGTGATTAGGTCCGAGTGGGAGGAGTCTGTTCCACCTCACCAAGGTGATTAGATCCGAGTGGGAGGAGTGTTCCACCTGATACAGGTGATTAGATCCGAGTGGGAGGAGTCTGTTCCACCTGACCCAGGCGATTAGGTCCGAGTGGGAGGAGTCTGTTCCACCTGACCCAGGCGATTAGATCCGAGTGGGAGGAGTCTGTTCCACCTGACCCAGGCGATTAGATCCGAGTGGGAGGAGTCTGTTCCACCTGACCCAGGCGATTAGATCCGAGTGGGAGGAGTCTGTTCCACCTGACCCAGGCGATTAGATCCGAGTGGGAGGAGTCTGTTCCACCTGACCAAGGTGATTAGATCCGAGTGGGAGGAGTCTGTTCCACCTGACCAAGGTGATTTTAGGAACAAAAACTGACACGAGATGGAACATTTTCTTACATTAATGTAGAGATCTAAATGAATCGCTCCGTAATGTATTTAATCAATGTATATTGCATATATACACAGTATCATTTCTTCAAGTACGTTTAGAATGCCTATAGGGAAGCTAACAAGGTCCTTAAGGTCTTCCATTTTTACCGCCAGCAGATGTCCTGAAGATGTTTGAGAGACATGGACCGCGTCACCTCACAAGGCAAGCTCGAGGAGAAACTACTTTGAGAAACGGCATCTAACACAGAACATTCACCCCTCGCTCCCGGTATGGGCTCAGTGTAACGGAAAAGACCAGCAATCACGCTGAAGGTTCTACATCACTACACCACAGTCGTGTCCAAGTTTTGTATAAAATACCAACGGAAAAAAGTAACTGTGCTTCATACAAAGTTACAAATTTACCTAGTTC